ACTATTGGGGTGTCGCTTCAGCAAAAGCTAAGGTATGGCAATATGACATGACGTCACAGAGCTACTGATGATGGAGTTTCAAAAATATGAACTTAAATAAAACTTCACTTTGGTCTTTGACCTGTCAGAAGTACATATTATGCTATTGAAAACTGTTTCAAAGGACATGAAGCTGTTTCTCACATTCATAATACCTCATGTCTGCATGTAATGCACGACTTGGTGAGAGCAGTGACATCGGACCTATTTCGGCGCAAATTTCAGCACCACGGACAGTGAGCGGATGTTTAATTATCATTAGTCATGTGTTTAATTTCACAGAAAATAAAGAAAATAAATGAATTACAAGCTCATTTCTAGAAGATAACCAAGGGGTCCGGTGTATGAAACACAGTAAAACAAAGGCCACTTTGGTACAATACTGTATAGGCGAATTTACTGGAGTGTCTCCAGAGACCGAAAATACAAGCTTTACATGCCGACATGAAGAAAAACCCCACATACAATCAGACAAGCTTCAAGACATCATTTAGACAGGCTGTCTACAGCAGCAGAGCAAAAGGCTTTTACAACACATAGATAACTCACATAACTCATAACTCACGGAGGAGCGAAGTGGCGAACAATTTGATTCAATAACACTCGTATTCACTGATGAGCGTATTATTGACCTATTTAAGTGCAATACAATGAAAACAACCAGCCAGTGCGCCTCAGGAGTAAACAGTGCACTGTTTCACACACACACGTCTTTTAATACATCCACGACACAAGTAAGATGACTACAGAACCTCTCTCTTTTTTTTCTTCTCCCGATTCCAAGGTATGGCAGCTGCCATACTTTGCCATACTAAATGATGCCTATGTAGGTCCGCCATCTAAGTAGCTCTCCGCCATGCGCTCCAATCGCGCCTCTTTTAAAGGGAATGAGAGATGACACTCTGATTGGCTTATTGAATGATACGCCCAAAACACACCCATGACTAATTCACAGAGTAAGTCCAACCCTTTTAGACTCTCCGCCATGGCGCACAGTCTAAAAATGCGCTGTCTAACTAGCAAGTGACTGGGACATGCCCATGCCCGCATGCCTGGCACTTCGCGTTTTAGACCATCTAAATAGGGCCCTATGAATTCTTGTGAAATCGTGGTACAGTGCTACAACACGGTGGTATGGTACACAGGGGTATCTCTACAGTGGTGTTTAGCATTGTTGCCTCAAAGTAGGGGGGTTCCCAGTTCTAACCTGGGGTGGGGGGTTCAAACCCTGGGTGGGGGAGCCCTTTCTGTGTGGAGTTTGCATGTTCTCCTCTTATCAGCCTGGGTTTTCTCCGTGTACTCCAGCTTCCACAGCTGTGGCTCAGAGGTAGAGCGAGTCGTCCACCAATCGGAAGATCAGAGGTTCGATCCCTGGCTCCTCCTGCATGTCAAAGTATCCTGGTGCAACTGAACCCCAAATCGCTCCTGATGATGCTTCCATTGGTGTGTGAGTGAGTTAAGAACTTCATTGAGAAAGATTTCAACCACTACCTCTTCTAACTCTGTTCCAAGGGGGAAAAGGGGCACTCGAAAACAAGAGGTAGGGGTAAGTAGGCTTTAACAAATGGAATTGGGCCTTTGTGAAGCCTACTTTAGGTCAAACTGTAGCTTTAAGACTAATTCAAACATTTCTTGGCTGTAAAAGATGAAGTATCAGTCATGCTTCCCTCTATAAATGTCTGCTCTTTTGTTGCTTTTGTGTCTTACTGTGTATTTCTCCTCTTCATGGTGGGTGTGGGCTGTGCTTTAAGCCTGAAATCCAATTGTCCTGTAAGCTCTTCACGGGGGCTTGCAGAGAATGCTATCTCCATTTTTTTAAATCAGTGTCGTTACAGTGACTAAAAGCTATTTGTGTAATCTGAAATAATCATATCAAGAAGGAAAGAGCATTTTGTTTGGGTAAAAGCAGCTGGAAGGTAAACGTTGAATTCATCAGAAAGAGATGCTTTGAGTGCCAGCTGATTCTGAACATGCCCTTGATTTTTTTTAATGTTGTTATATATCTAAAATGCTCTGTAAAGACCAACAAATGTCATCCACCAAGAATAATGCAGCTCCTCCCAAGGCAATCATATGTCACTGGTGCAACCAATATTCATGTCAGGGTCATTTTGTGAGGATAATCATTTCCGAGGCTTTTTCAGAATCAGATAAGCGGTATTGAGAAATCAGTTGTGACTCACAGATGATGCAGTACATAAAGAAATGGAGAGAGAACGAGCCAGCCCATAACCTTTTAGAGAAATACTGGAATATGCCTGAGACTTCTTCTTTTGGCGAGCTAATATTTGGCACTTTGGTGTATGTTACAGGGTTTTTAATCCCCCCAGGCCCACACCACAGCCAATATTGATATTCCTGCAGTAAAATCATATCATATATCACCAGCTACTTCTCTACAACGTAAGTATTAAAAGGATGTGGGAGCTACAGGGCTAAAAAAACAAAACAAAAAAATGAGATATGTTGCAGCTGTCTTCAGTAGGCACACCACCCATCGATCCTTTAGATTAAAATGTATAGTTTGATCACAAGGGTTGCTGTGGCACAGTGGAATGTCTTGTTCGGCCATCAATCCACATCTTTTTATAAGAGGGTGGCCCTAAAATTATTCTTGACAATATGACAACTGACGAAAATATATAATTTATTTAAGAAAAAAAATTTTTTTTCCACCTGGACATTTATGCTCTGCCATTTCTCCTCTAATCATCACGCTGTAACCTGTGGCAGGCTGTTATGATATCTAACTATCACACATTCACATATATGGAGTTTATCGTTGAGCTGTGAGCGTCACATAGGTTTACATTACCAAAGGTTTTTGACAAAATCATTTGACGACACCGACTCCTGTGTGCACGCGGCGAGAGAGGAGAGGGAGAGACGCTGTGCTGCTGCCAGAGCTGCCTCTGAGCGATAAGTTACTAAAAGAGTCTGAGAAGTCCGGGGCTGTTCATAAAACATTCAGGATGCCACAGTTTATTCCACACTACTGAAGCTGCTCCTCTTTTTGAAACCACTGTGGAGTCGGTAATAACAATGTCAACAAGTCAAAAAATCACGAGAACTTTTCCTATGATATTAAAAATGACACCCCTAGTATCATGAACGAGATGATATGGCACACCCCTATTTAACTGTAGCTTAATCAAACTGATGTTACCATTTCTACACTTTCACTAAGCCATCCTTTATTTATATCAGTTTGCCTCTTTTGTACTTCTTTTCCACGAAGCGCTCCTGTTGATTAAATATTTTTCTCTTTGGCAACATGCAACAAAGAGCCACTGATGACTACGAGGTGTTTATGTTGGAGTATTGATCTGAAATCAGCCTGAGTTTGCTGATTACAATGTTGCATCTTTACTTCAAATATATCATCGAAGAAATGCTCCAAAAATGAGCCCAGAGAAACACTCGAACTGCTATATTAGATTGTCACTTAAGTATTAAACATCCAACTACAGTCATGCAGTATCAGACTGATTTCATTTGACATGGTTAAGTTTGGGTATAATTTATCTTTATATAACTTCATTTCTGTCCCATCAGAATTAGATTTGTTGAAGTTCTCTGTGAGAGATGATTAATTTTATGCTAATGATCTGGCAAGTACTTAAAACTACTTGTCTAAAACTTTGCTTCTCACTGAAACTCTATGATTATCAAATCTGTCTCCTGTCCACTGCAATACAAAATAAAAAATAGGGAAACATTTTATATTAAGGTACACATACTTACCATTACCTAAGTACCATGCTGGACTTTTATTAGACATTACAGAGCACTTATCAATGCCTTAGGCCCTAATCGCACAGAAAGAGTTTTACAGTAGCAGCTGGAGAGGGCTTTTTGTGATTGTTTTTAACGAGAAGAAGAATCTTTTTGCTTACTGTTTTTGTGTTGCTTTGCACCTGTTTCTGTGCTCTAGGCCCCTGGCTTTTTTGCTGGAGCGCTCTGCACTCCTGGAGTTGAAAAAATTTCAACTCAGAGTGAAAAAGTGCTCCATGTCATCTCTTACTTAGTCATCTTTTTTTTCCCATTGTCCAATTAGATGATTTGAGAGGTGGGCCTTCTGTGGTGGTCACAACAACAAGTTTACAGTTGGTGAACAATGGAGGAAAAACTGGCGGTAGCGGAGAGGTAGAGTCATCCTGAAATATGGCTGGAAACGTCCATCATTGAGGCGAAGCTCCTGGACCAACTGGTGGTACTCCCCATGACCCACCCTCTTTTTTAGGGTCTCATGTACCCACACAAATCTCTGTTTATCTGCTGACAGCCTCTCACCCTCAACCAGAGCTACAGACAGTACCCTCTGCCTCAACATGTCAGCAACTACACACTAATTACTGGGAAATTAAAAAAAATGGTAGACTGATCACATGGGAAGGTTAGTGTAAGAAGGTGATGGGGTGGTTGCCTGGCAACAATAAAAAAGGTGCAGCAAGCATTTTTTATTTTACAAATGGCATTCAATTTAAAAAAAAAAAAAAGAAGACAGTGTGGTGCACCTCGAGTTTTGCAACCCGCCAAACACTTCCTGAGTGATCTGGGCCTTATTCTGCATAACCATATTTAACAGCTACTGAGCTACTGAGAGTTTTCCCTCAATAACCTCCTTACTACTGCCTATTGATAGTAAGTTGTTATATATGAATTAGGATCCTAATAAGCTTAACTCAGAGCCAAACAGACAGCTGAGGCACTAACTGGTTTTCATAAAATGTTACCAAAAATAGTTGTTTATTTTACGCTGAGATGTCTCAGCAGTTTGTTCTCAAATCCAAGTGCGTTAAAGGCCTCCACTGTATCATCACCTGAGAGCTGCGTCTGCACTGAATCTACGTATCAACAGGCTTTAAAAACATACAGCCAAATGGTCTTTACTCATCAGATTGTGTTGCAGAGATCAGTGTTCATCTGTGTTTATTTTATTGCGTCTGGTGGTCACTTACCCCAAAGTTGGAGGCTGCAAATCTAGCCGGAGCAGAGACGTTGGTGGAGGCGGTTGGGTGGGCGTAGAAGGCATTGATGTTGGCCAGCAGGGTGCTCATCACTGCCGGCACCCCTGACAGCATGTACTTAGAGGACAGGCAAGAGAAATGGCTGAGGAGGAAAGGAGAGGAGATAGACATGAGCGGGAGAAAGAGAGACAGCGAGAGAAAAGGTAAGCAAGAAAGATAGAAGATTTAAAAAGCAGTAAGAAGTTAAAAAGAAAGGCAGGACAGACATGGAGAGAATGGGAAGGAGGTTGGGAGGATGAGACAGGTGGAGACAGATGGAAGATGGGGTTGAGAGGAAGACATGAAGAGGCCAGAGAGAGAGATCGGAAGGAGGATGAATGAAATAGATTGTGAAGAAGGAGGATGAAAGATCGGACAGATGGAGGAAAGGGTTGGGCAAAATTGGAGACGAGAGAGGGAAACAAAAATGGATTAAGTGGAGATGACGTCAAAACAGTTGATCACCAGTGTACAAATACCCATTTTTAATATTACTGACAGTATATATCTTTAACATGCATCAACTAATTTACTTTTGCAGCGATGTAATAAAGACAACTCAACACACAGACAGACTGTTAGGAAGTGCAATACTTCATTGGTATAGTAAAGCTACTTTCATGACATTTGTCTTTGTCTGCTTGACACTATTTGCTTTGTTCAGCTGGGATGCTACATTGGACATTGTTTCAGCAGTAATGGCCAGCTCTGGCTGCTATCAGTTGGGTGCGCACACACCACTGTGCAAAAATGAGCAGGGACGGTTGTGTGGCCATGAACAATATGTCTATTCCCCTGGAGGTTCTGCCAGTTAAATGTATTGGTATCTTTAAAGCTGTAGTTGTGAACTTTTATAAAAAGAACTTTTTGTCATAGTAGCTGAAACTTTCACTTTATTCACACGGAGTTAAATGAGACAGATGAGACAGAAAAATGAAATTCTCCTCTGCCTACTCTGCTGCCTTGTAGCATTTCCAATGGCCTTACAGCATGTGAACAAAATCGACCAATCAACCAACTGCTCGTGAACTGTGGTCAAACTGCAAAATAGGCAGCGCTGATCAAATATGAATCAAGATTCGCCTATTTCTCTGCTCTGTTTTCAGAAACATATTTTAGTGTACTGTTTAGCTGTAAATTGAGAAAGTTGCTCTGGTGGGTCGCGGGTCCATCTGAATGGACTATGAGAGACTGGTGAACATGTCAAGTTTGCACAAAACACAATCTATTTTGAAGTATAGTACATTTCCTGCACAGAGCTTTTATTTTGAAGTGCTGTTTCCTGCTGTAGAGTGACTGACTAATGGACAGATACTCAAAAGAGACAGCAAACTAGCTCAACGACATGGCCAAAAGCTATTATGACGCTGAATAGATTAAACTGCCTGGAGCTTGAACTAACGACTAAGGAGAAATCTGGACCCCGTGGCTGGACCAGTTGGGAACCACCACTTCTGGGGCTCCCAGATTTAGCTGAAAAGGGAGCACTCTTCACTTTCACGTTGTTCTCCAGTACAGGCAGCTGCAGAATCAGACTCAGGGTGAGAAGGAGTGAGACACAGGCAGCTGCCCGCAGGAGGAAAGGCTTACCGCTACTCCACATGATACAGTCCCTGGCTTTTGCTCGATATATAGTGTCTAGTATCTACCTGATACCTTAGCATAGTTAGCACACATTAGCTCGGAGGGCTAATTTGGCTTGTTTGCTTCATTACATGAATGTTTATTACATGAATGGAGTTTCACCAAGCCCGTTTAAACTCTCAAATTCTGCATGAAAAAAAAAAAAAAGAAGAAATTAATAGTTGACTTGACTGACAAAATCTGGCTACAACCCTAACAAAAACAAACAAACAAACAAACACATGTATGAACAGTTTGTTCCAGTGAGGAAACCAAAATAAAGCTGTTCAGCAGGCTTTCAATGATATGTGAGGCTGTTATAATGGCTACAGTGCGTTTCAATTGCCATTTTCATTTGGCGGTGTTATTGATCGGCTAATATCCTCATTTCCACCGGGACGTAGTCTGAGCCATTTCTGCTTCCAACTTCAATTTACTCAATGCTTCCCAGTATGATTATGTTTATGTGTGTGCTCCTTTTATCACACACAGAAGCTCTCGGTCCCTTTAAGGTCAAATTACAACATTATTAATGTAATTAAACCATTGTGTGAAAGTGTGTGTGAAAGTGTGTGTGTGTGTGTGTGTGTGTGTGTGCTCCCTGAGTCTCTTTCCAGCTGCCTATAACGATCCAATCAAACAGCTGGGAAATCTCAGAGGTGACAGGTCATCTTTTCTCATTAGATGTGATAAACTAATTTGCATGCTGTTTATAGTTCATGACAACCCCGCCCACCTCTCATCACATCAACACACAGGCATGCACATGCACACACACTAATGTCAAGTATTTCCTGATTTGATTTACCCATACATGCACACAACTGGCTGACATCATGGAGAACTGGATGCCCTGGCAAACTTACATATTCACACACACTCACACACACACACACACGCACACACACACACACATTTAACACCAAGCTTACGTCATGGCCTGATATATGGACTCGATGCCGTAGCGCATGGCGAACTCATCCACGATCTCCTGCTGCACTTCATCAAAGTAAACCTTCCAGGCATCATCTCCTTGAGCCACGGGGATCTTCACCATGCCGCCTCCTTCCACGTCCGTCGAGAAGTGGAACATATTCTACAAAGAAAAGAAAGTTTAAGAGAACAGGAAAATATCTGCACTGTTCGAGGAGCTAAAAAACAGCCAGGAGTTTGAACAGTTAGTTCCACAGTAGTGAGCTGAGATGCTCTGGCTTCAAAGGTTGTAGAAATATCACCCCAGTTACAAGTCTTTGGGCAGACATTTGGACAGCCAAGTTGCCAGAAGTTGCCAGAATATTGGCATTGTATGTTTCTGCAAAACATGATTACTTTAAATATGCACGTTTTATACATAACATATCAGCGTGACTAAAGTGTTGCAGTATATGAGCTGACTTAGTCACTGGGAGGTGGACAGGATTGTGGATGGCATGGCACCTTGGCAAGATGCCTGCCAAGCTACAGACCACTATTCAAGACCAATAAACAACAAAAATTTTAGCGAGTCATTGCCTTGTTTCCAGCTGCTTTTTAGCCAACAAACATGGGTGTTTTGTAGCAACCCATCATGGTTTTTCCACTGGCACAAAAAGCAGTTGCTTTTTACCAAGACATTGCTGCGTTTCTAGTGGAGATTGTGCCCCAAAACATGTGTATTTTAAGCAAAATAAACATGATCTTTTCAGTAAACTCTACAGTCTGTTCTCATTTCATCACAGGTAAATTACACAATATTTTGGAGAACGAAAATGATGAGACAGACACACAGTGCACACAAATTGAGCATAGCATTAGTTCAGGCAGGACACAATGTCAAGCTCAGCTCACATCCCAGCTACATCAGCTGATCTCAAACAGCCCAATCAAATGATGGGAGTCAACTGATAGATCACATGATTTCTTTCTATGCAACCAATCAGCGAATCTCATTCAGGGCACCCTATTTAAACTGCTCTGACCTGCCTACTGTTGCTGCTTCCTCTGCAAGCTGCTTTGCAACCTGCCTCCACCCCAGCTCCTCCTTTTCATGCTGTGTCTGACTTATCAATGTCATTTCTGTTTGTCATTGATGCTGCTCTGTTCTGTTCCCGGGGGGTCTTTGCTGCTGCTCTCCCTGCCTTAGGCTTTCCATGTAGGTGCATGGAAGGGCAGAGAGGTTTGTGTTCTCTCTACCTCAGGCTTTCCTCATTTGCACATGGAAGGGCAGACAGGTGTCCTCCCTCTGAGTTATGGCTTTCCACGCAGGCACGTGGAAGGGCGGAGAGGTACGCTCTCTCTGCCTTATGCTTTCCTAGTAGGCGCATGGAGGAGGCTTTCTGCGTAGGCCCGAGAAAAGGCAGAGAGGCCCCAGAACAGAGCAATACCGCCAAATATATATATAAATGGAAGTTTTCTTTGACAAAAGTGTTCCTGACTGAAATACAAATGCTCCTCTTTTCCTCTGTAGACTGTTGGCTCGCAAGCCTTAGTTTGAACAAGCTAAGCACCAAAACAATGTGTTACCATTAACAAAACGAGCACTACAGAGCCTGGAGTTCCCGATGGTGGCTGCTTGTGTGTTTCTTTAGGGAAATGGTTTTTTTTTTTTTTTTTTTTTACACTTTATTTTCATTTTTTGTTTGTTGTTGTTTTTTTTACAAAAACAGTATAAAAGGCTAGAACAGAAAAGACAGAGTGCAAATTTGTGATACCAGATTTGCACCTTATCAAAGGGAACATCGTAACATTGAGCATCAAGGTCCTAAAACTAATTTTGCTGGTGTGTATTTCAGTTCCGGAGGACTAAAATTCTGTGTTTCAAATGCTGTCTTCATGCAGTGGTGGCTGGACAGTAAGTCTAAGTGGATGTCGATGTCCACTAGCAACCAAAAGATGCTCTGAAAAGGTCTGTGGGCTAAACAGTTTGGAAAATGTTAGGTGCCACTGACTGTGCATGTGTGTGTTTATATATATGTGTTTGTGACAGAAAAACACAGAGCAAGACTCTCAAGTTTCTCCGACATTTCCCCCTTCAACTTATTCCTCAAAGCCTGTCAGCTTCCCCATTTTAAGTTGTGTGTGTGTTTGCGTGTGTGTGCGTGTGTGTGTGTGTTACCTCATGAAGGCACGTGTACTGAACATGGTATGGTGCCACCTTCTCCTCTCCCTCGATCTCCACACTGATCTGAAGACGAATGGCACCAGACACCGCAGACTTGTCTGTTCTCTTCTCTGCAAGGACACACACACACACACACACACACACACGCAATTACTCTGCAGTCATACATCGCTCAGAGTTGAACTTAAGTTGAACTTCGGATCTGTGACGACAGCTAAAGCAGTGAGTGCTAAAGCAGTGAGTGCTCCAACTGCTGTGCTAATGAGCAAAGCAACACTCCGAAACACAAACACACATAAAACCAATTACACACTCCCATCTACTCCACAAACACAGAAACACACACACACACACACACACACACACACACACACACTAAGTTTCCCGTATCCCTGTGGCTCTGAGTGACTACATACCCAGGTTGTACCAGACGTCCATCTCTCCGCTCAGAGTTCGGACCTCGATGATGCTCTGACCCAAGAAGTCGTCCGACTCCCTCTTCAGACGCTGCTTCACTCGAGACTTGATGTCATCGTCTTCATCCCAAACTCGCAGCTTGATACGATCTGATGAGTTGTGACACTCGCTGCGGAGACAGAGGACAGGTGGGCGGCGTGTTGTTTTAAGAAATGTGTGAGTGTTGGAGCAGATGGCTAAGGTGGAGGGTTTGCAAGCCTGGAGCAAATCAACATATGTTGAAAAATACTTTAAATCTGTGCCTCTCATTATCACTCTGTGGTGACTACTCAGTGAGCACTGATTTGTTGATTTCCAAAGGAAAAAAGCATTTGTATGTCCTGGCTAAAACCTGCTAAAGTGGTTGAGAAATTAAAGCTTTTTATAGGTGTCTACGTTACATCACAAAATTGTTTATACAGCATTATTTCAATAACTACACTTCAATGTGAGTCTCACTTTGAAATATAGTTTTTGATAAATGGACCTGCATTTGTTTACACCATTCTAGTCTTCTGACCATTCAAAGTGCTTTTACACTACATGTTACATTCACCCATTAACACACACATTCACACACTGGTGCCGAGGCTACCATACAAGGTGCCACCTGCCACTCTCGAGTGTGCACATCCACTGGGGGCAATGTGGGGCTCAGTATTTTTGCCCTTCGATGTGCTCACTGGAGGAGTCGGAGATCAATCCCCCTATCTTCTGCATAATGGACAACCAGCTTTACCACTAGAGCTCTACCTCCTTCCCCCTGAAATGCTTTTTAAATGCTGTTGAAATAACCTTCTACAAAGGTTTTTGTCCAGAATTCATTTGACAAATGCAAATGGTCAAATCAGTGCTAACTGTGTAGGATCTTAAGTACTGTTCGAAACGTATTCGGATATAGATACTGTACCTACTACACTGTATACCTGTGCCACTTCCTTACATGTAAATGCATCATACATTATTTGTTGATATCTTTATGATAGGACTGGACAATCTATTGATATTATATTAATAATGTGATATAAGACTAAGGCCCAATCCCAATACCCCCTTGTCCACTACCCCTAGCCCTGGGCCCTACCCCTAGCCCTTGCCCACTACCCCTTGGCCCTCGAAGTGAAGCAACGAGGGGTAGGGGTTGAAATCTTTCCCTAGGAATTGGGACACCACTCACTACGTCACCGGTTGCGTTCAGGCATACGTAACTATTTTAAACAGGAAGCTGCGAGCCATCTACATTTCCAACCGGCATCTACAATGGAGTCTCCGGTTGAGTTCATCCTACCTTCGTGTTTGCTGTATTCATCATGCTTCGTTTGATGAACGACAGCCGACAGGGGACTTCTGCTAGCTAGCTAACTAGCTAACCAGCTAACATTTCGAGGCAGCATAGTTATATACTAGCTGGTGTGTTATCGTAATGTGAAAAATACAACAATTTTGCAGAACGGGACAGATGATAGATGCCAGATAGTGCGAGCTAGCTAACAAGCAACCTGGAGACGGTAATGTTAGCTATGTATGAACTTTTTTCCCTGTCTCTTGCTCGGTGGGAGCCATGGCAACGTCTACCCCTTGCTGGCAAGTCAGCATCTGAAATCCCTCGCGCCGAAGGGCTAGTTTCATACCCACTACCCCACGTTATGCCCCCTACTCCTACATGCAAAAAGGAATTGGGACATCCCTACCCGTCGCGGGAACACACAAATGTAGGAGGGGCCAAGCAGTAGGGCTACGGGGGGGGTATTGGGACAGGCCCTAAATATCATCTTAGATTTTGGATATTGCATTATCATAAGTGTCTTTTCCTGGTTTTCAAGGCTGCATTACAGTAAAGTGATGTAATATTCTAAACTAACCAAACTGTTGTAGATGTTCTATTGTTTGCCTTTACCCACTTTGTCATTATGTCCACATTCCTTTTGATTATTTATCAAAAATCTGTGTGTAAATATTTTGTGAAAGCACCACGAGTCAGCCCTGCAATATCAATATTGAGGTATTTCATCAAAATATCATGATATTTAATTTTCTCCATATCGTCCAGCCCTACTTTATGAAGAGTTTTTCCGCGTATACACAGTACAGTCTTAACCACAGCAAAAAGAAGATGAGTTTTTAGAAAATGATGTATAGTTAGAGATTAAACCAACCAATAGAATATAAAGTAGTTGAACTAGTTGATTACAACCTTTGAAAATGTGCTTAGTTTCATCATGATACTGTATTGATTCTTTGGACAATGAACTTCACAAGATCTGCCACGACACGATTTTAATTTAACTTCATCCAGGGGCCTGCAATCAATTTGACATGATACCAGTGAATATCCTTCTTGTCTTTTTCTTGGTTGCTTGCCCTGGTCTGCCTGGAGCAAGGTTGCTAGCACTGTTTGAATGTTTATGAAGGACATGTGCTTGGATGGAAATGGTGACACAGATGTGCCATGGGAGTTTCAAAATAAAGGCGTATCTTGAAGGTGACAATATGTATCATTGTTTTTACTTTGCATCCATGATATTGGAGCATTGGTGATTGAATCGATGCATCAATCCTGACTGATGTATTGTTAAACCTCTACTAATATTGTGATTTTATAATGTGTGCACTGAAAAACAACAGAGAGCATGCTGGTTCAATCTGACAGTAATGAAACACAAATATAATATTTACATGTATGACAATATAACACATAATTTGTGCTTTTACTTTTGATACTTTTCATTTAGCTGATACTACTGATGCAAATTTCTATTTGTCAGGTAGGGTTGGGGCTGCAGTAGCTCACTCCTTAGGGACTTGGGTTGGAAATCGGAGGGTCCCTGGCCCAAGTCCCTGTCCTGACCAAGTATGGAGTGTGGACTGGTAGCTGGAGAGATGCCAGGTTGACTCCAGGGCACTGTCGAGGTGCCCCTGAGCAAGACACTGAACACCCAACTGCTCAGGGTGCCTGCCCATGGGCAGCCCCCTCACGCTAACATCTCTCCATTTAATGTATAAGTCCTGTTTATGCATTTGTGTGTATTTCAGGCCATTTATGAAAACATTAATCCCCTCAGGCATTAATAAAGTATATCTTTGTTTTCTTTGTTTTTATGAGGAACTTTGCTGATGATAATTTTTTCTTTAAACATTGTGGTATTTCTGCTTTTACTAAAAGCCGTGCACACCCTCACAGGTATCTCATAGGACTACATGTACTTAAAATAATTTAGAGAAGTATGTGAAATTGTTGGAGATGATGACTATGAGGAAAATAGTACTCCTGGTCGATGTGATTTTCACTGAAATTGCTTTAGGAAATTGTACCTGTTCATGCATCGTCACTGCATTTAAACTGGACACTGTGTTCCCTCATCTGCACTGTGTGACAGCTCTATTTGTCTGTTTGTATTTATTGTAACAACGTATTCCCAATGCAGCTATTCACATGAAATTTAGACCAGGCGTTGGTATTTTCTCAATTAAACTACACGGATAAAGAAAAAGTAACATTTAAATCGAATTGAAGTATTGAAGACGTCTCGTCTCGTCTCGTCTCGTCGTCCTCCGCTTATCCGGGTCCGGGTCGCGGGAGCAGCAGCCTCAGCAAAGAAGCCCAGACAGTCCTCTCCCCAGCCACCTCCGTCAGCTCTTCCGAGGGAACCCCGAGGCGATCCCAGGCCAGCCGGGCGATGTAATCCCTCCAGCGTGTTCTGGGGCGGCCCCGAGGTCTCCTCCCAGTTGGACATGCCCGAAACACCTCCCAAGGGAGGCGTCCGGAAGGCATCCTTACCAGATGCCCGAACCACCTCAACTGGCTCCTCTCGATGTGGAGGAGCAGTGGCTCTACTCCGAGTCCCTCCCGGATGTCCGAGCTCCTCACCCTATCTCTAAGGCTGAGCCCAGCCACCCTGCGGAGGAAACTCATTTCGGCCGCTTGTACTCGCGATCTCGTTCTTTCGGTCACTACCCAGAGCTCGTGACCATAGGTGAGGGTTGGAACGTAGATCGACCGGTAAATCAAGAGCTTCGCTTTCTGGCTAAGCTCCCTCTTCACCACAACGGACCAGTTAAGTGTCCGCATCACTGCTGACGCCGCCCCAGTCCGCCTGTCAATCTCCCATCATCCTACCCTCACTCGTGAACAAGATCCCGAGATACTTAAACTCCTCCACCTGAGGCAGGCCCCCCCCCCCCCCCCGACCTGGAGTGGGCAATCCACCCTTTTCCGGCTGAGGACCATGGCCTCAGACTTGGAGGTGCTGATTCTCATCCCAGCCGCTTCACACTCGGCTGCAAACCGTCCCAGCGAGAGCTGGAGGTCAATGTTCGATGGAGCTAGGAGGACCACGTCATCCGCAAATAGCAGGGACGAGATCCTCCTGTCACCAAACCAAAGTATTGAAGACGCTAACTGAAATTTGTTAAAGACTTGGGGAAGCTTTTGTTTATAATCCATGCTTCAAGATGCTTCCTGTATGAGGAAACTAATCTCTCAAAGTGTCCAGATGGGATTTTGGCCCATTCTTCCACACAGACACTTTAAGTCTTGAAGATTTTGGAGAGCTACCTTGAGAATCTTGAGAAAGAAATTTCACTTTCGAAACTTCAGCAATTAGTGTCCTCAGTTCCCACACGCTTACTGAGTGTAGGTGAAAGAAAAGGTGATGTAACACAGGGGTAAACATACCCTGTCACAGGTTTTTTGGGATGAAAGGAAATCATTTTGGAATCGGGATTGTAATAAGTAGATGATGTCAGCCTGTACACACACACACAGTCCTGAGAACAGCTCTAATTAACCAGATTAAGTGTGTGTGGGTTTACCATGGCTGTGCAGGACCTTAAGGTGAAGCCTCTAAAACCTTCCTCAGCCACTGCACGGTGTGACAATGACACTGTTCTCCTGAACTTTGCCGGACCTCTGAGAGCTCCAGCTGAGCTTTACAACCAGGAAGAAAATAACAAGCAGAACTTACAAGCTAAACTTTTCCTCCCAGACTGGGTTCAGGTTGCCGTAGATGGTCTTTGTCCTCTTCTTCGTCTTTCCGACTTGGATGGTGACATAGGGGTCGCTGGAGCCCGTTCTGTCCTTGGCCTGGAGACCCTGCGCGCTGACGACTGATAACACACACACAGAGAGGCACACACACACACAGTCAGAGAGAATGACTATGAAAATTGCATAAGAACAACAAACACCTACTCGTTACCACCATCTTTCTGTCTCATTCACACACACACACACACACACACACACACACACACACACCAAAACACAAGATATCACCCACACAGTTCTGCAGAGCCTCATAACACAACACTCGTGACTCACAGGCAGATGTTGGGTAACAAAATTTCTCACCAAATTAGTTAAACAACCGTTGTCGCCCAGTGTTTCATTGTTCTGTGCAACAGGTAGTCAAAGAGGACTTCTAAAGGAGACTTAAAGTGATGACGTGACCCGGCTATAAAGGGCTGTCACCACAGGGAGTGTCCTCAGATTATACAAGCCGACATGAATATTTACTGAATTTTACATTCAATTCTTGCCCTTTCTATTCTGCATATTGTTTCTGTACATCTCTGTCAAGATAACAAAGCAGCAAATGAAAGACGAAGCAGCTTCTGTGACACTCTGGCACAAAGGCATGTGTTGCCCTGAAGGACGTCTGTCTGACTTCCACTGTATCCAAGCTACAGAAAACAGCTTTGATCGATGGAAATTAAAGGCTTATGAGACGAGTCTGGAGACATTTCTTTGAGGCAGAAGGTCAACAACAGGTTGTTCATCTGAAGAAAAGGTGCTGAGTGTCAAGATGTATTAGGGCTTGCTCAGAAAATACGCTACCAGAGTGTCTTGTGCTTAAGAGGGTTAACATAAGGTTATAGATTTAAACCAGGAAGAGTACGATGGAGGCCAATTCTACATCCAATATTATTTCTATTCTCCACACTGTAGTGCTTAAAGGAATAGTCTGACATTTTGGGGAAATATCCTTACATACCTTCTGGTGGACCGTTATATGAGAAGGCTGATACAACTCTTATTTCCATCTGTTAAATATGAAGCTACAGCCAGAAGCTCGTTAGCTTATCTGAGCACAAAGACAGGAAACGGGGGAAGCCCAGCTCTTTTTAACGATAACAAAATTCACCTCCCAGCACCATGAAAACTTGCTAAATAATATCTCATTTGCTTAATCCACACAAAAATGAAGTGTAAAAACGACAACTGATGATACCAGTTCCTCGTCCAATACCAATTTCTTTCTTCTAAATTTTAAATCTCTGTATGACACTGTGTGGAACTAATCAGGATGAGAGTTATGTAAGGTAAGAGGAGGTCAGGGACTGCTCTGAGTCAGCAGCAAATACAACCTGAAACTGTATTTCATGTGGATTCATTTGTTGCAGCTATTATCTGATGTGGTCAGTAAACAGAAAATCAAATTGCTCATATTTACACACATACTTATGTACGTGCCTTTTTGCGTTAATACATACAGATGAAAGCCATATTCTGAGATGCAAAAACTACATCTGTTTGTACTTTGTAAACAAGTCCTGTCGTGTGAAACAAGAAGCAGTGTGTAAGATTTAAGGAGATTTAGTGGCGTCTTGCAGTGAGGACTGCAGATCTTTCATTTAGAATTCCTTCAGCGTTCATTGCTCAGAAGGTTTTTAGCGGGAGCTGAGTTATCCGCTGGGGTCTGTTCCTCTCCAAAACAAACAGACCAGGCGATTTAAACCAGTGAAAACACTGAATAAAGCAGTTTTTTCTCTCTCTGACACTGTCTGAGACAGCAGTTAGCCTTGCACTTGCTAATGTGTGCTCACCTTTTTTCTCTGATAACTTAAGATCCAGACATTTAGGAGGTATTTACTAGGGGCCGAATCATCTGCTGAGGTCTCTTGCTCTCCAAAATAACTGGACCAGGTGATTTAAACCAGTAAAAAACAACGAGTAAAGCTGTTTCACATTAAAAAACACAAATCAATCAAGTTAAAAAATATCTGAGAGAAACGCCCTCTCTCTCTGTCTTCAGCCCAATACGGGGAAATGACTCCTTCCCCCCAGGTAAAACAGACGGGGGATTTAAATCTTGGGCTACTAAGGGGCTGGGAAAAATAGGAGATCTTTACAACTCGCAAAAGGTGCTGATGACATTTGGAGAAATAGCTGATCAATTTAACATATTCTGTAATCATTTTTTTTAAATACCTACAGTTGAGAAATTTCATTAGAACACACCAAAATCAAACATTATGCATCCCCGAAATGTCTACCATAGAAAAATGAATGAACATGAATTGTTTAGGGAGGGGTTTAATTCCCAAAATTTATAAACGCCTGGTAGACGGAAGCACAGAAACATCTGCAGGACGGTTGGGGGCATGGAGGGAAGATCTACAGGAGGACATCCCAATAGAAAAGTGGGAGGAGGCATGCTGTAAAGCACAATCAAGAACTACTAACACCTGCCTGAAATTACTACAATACAACTGGTTAATGCGAACGTATATCACTCCAGAAAAACTTAACAGATATAATAGCGCTATACCTGATACTTGAATTAAATGTGAGAAGGAAAAAGGTACATTTTTCCATTGCGTTTGGCAATGTACAGAAATACAAAAATTCTGGCAAGAAATAAAACATTGTATTCAAAATATTTTACAGATTCAAATACCCTTGGTCCCACAGTTGTTTATATTAGGTTTATATCCAGATAATTTGAAGATTAAAAAATATCAATGAATATTTATAGACTTGTAAGTCTAAGTGTGTTAATGGCAAAGAGAGTAATAGCCCTCTCATGGAAAAACACCAGAAGTCCAAGTGTAAGCAGGTGGCTGTCTGAGCTATCTACAACTCTTCCCTTAGAGAAAATTACATATACAATAAAACATCAACAACATAATTTTCACCAGATCTGGGACCCCTTCATTTGCTATGTATTGAGAACAGATTTGTCACATGTGATGGAAGAGCCTGGGGACATGTAAACAGTGACACTTTGCAGTACCTAATATTGCAGAATTTTTTTTTTTTTTTGTTCCTATACAATGGACTAAAATGGACTAACTCACTAACCTGATCCCCAACCAAGAATCGGAATAATTTGAAAGGGCGGGGGGTGGGGGAGTTGACATGTTTGTTCAAGACATGTAATTGTATTTCTTTGTGTTTCGTTGTGATAACTATAAAAAGAATGTTGGTAAAAAAAATTTAAAAAAAAAACACAAATCACATTCTGATGCTGCTCCTTGCAGAGAGACTGCTAACTATGGTGGCCTACACCAAAATGCAAATGACTCTATCAAGAGCCAGTGTTTGGTTTGTCCATTCTGGGCTACTGTAGAAACATGGTGGACTCCATGGAAGAGGACCCGCTCCCTATGTAGATATAAACGGCTCATTCTAGGGTAACGAAAACACAACGGTTTTTATTGTCAAGTGATTATACACTAAAGAAAAAGATACTTCTTATATTCCATTTCTGCCAATATACCCCCCTTAATCCTACACACTGGACCTTTAAGACTCAGTATCTGTCTCAAGCCACATCAGTCCCTGTAATATCTTACCAGCGGTTCATTCAGCGTCGATGACTGCTGCATTTTATCTGTGCTAAAGGGAGTTTTGAATATTAACTGGTTCAGATGTTCCCTAATGAAATCAATGGGTTCTTCAAAGAGCTCTGTGTGGAGCGTTTCCTGTCAGTCCACCATCAAGTTCAGTCACAACTTGGCTTAAATACAAAACTGAGTTTGAGCTGAAAGTGTGTCTGAAAGTATTTCAGATGGGAGACATGATTGATTTATACAAAAATGAAAAATACTTTGATGAAAAAGCAATAATGTGAGAATTTCAAACAACTTGAATGATTTATAGATGCCTTGAAAGAATGTTTGTGAAGTCTTTTCTTCACTGTGTTTGAGGGGATAATACTATGTAACACATATACAAACAATGTCAGGGTTTTATCTCATTTCTTATTATACAGAAAACCAAGTTTTTTGAGAGAGAACTTCAGAAAGGTTCCTTACAAAACCTTTATTATAAAAACGTCTGAATCTGGCCTGACACATTTTTGAGAATCGTGTGACTGCATATCAAAAATTCATTCAGTAGAATCTGTAGGTATGTGATCTGACCTTGATCAGCAGAACAGAGATGTGCCACTATCAAATTCAATAACCAAAGACTGTCTGAGACATGACAACTTCTATTACTTACATCAGAAGTAGGTCACTGGAGGAGAGTATATATTTCAGGCGAAAATATGTATTGAAAACAGGCGACAGACAGGAGTTCAGTGGCTACAGATCGGTTGTCTCAAAAGTTACAGTTAATCAATCAATCAATCAGCAGCGGATAAGGAAAAACTCCCCAAAAAAAACCCTTTAACAGGGAAAAAAAAGGGTAGAAACCTCAGGAAGAGCAACTGAGGAGGGATCCCTCTTCCAGGACGGACAGACGTGCAATAGCGTAACGCGTTATACCCAACTCTGGTGTACTTTGATTACTTTTTGCAGTAATGAGTAACCTAATGCGTTAGTTTGGTGTTTGAGTAATCAAATACTTAAGTACATTTTCAAACAAGACATCAGTTACTTCCGTTACTTTTAGAACATTGGTCCTTAAGCTCCAAAACAGCAACGGCTGTCATTTGGTTCTAATAACGGAGATCAGTCTGAAAGAAGCCACGGAGCTTGTGGCTCGCTACGTGGTCGGAGAAATGCTGCCGTTGTCTACGGTGGAGTCTAAATAGGTGGAGTAGGACTCGCTGACAGACATATTTCAGACTCAGGACTTGCATTATGCCTGGTACAGGCTACACGCTGGTACTCACCAATTATCCCCGGTCGTCTTTCACGGCGTGTGTGATGTCATCGGGTTATTCTTGTCCTGTTTTTATTACTTTGACTATTATTTGTGTCACTGTGTCTGTTCACGTGCCAGCTGACATGTTGTTGTAGTCACCTAAAAGCGTCAGCAGATGGCAGGAGCTACATTTGAAGCGCCATACGTAAACTGTCAAGCTACTGTATCTCCCACAGGAAGTTCTGACAAATGTTTCAGAATAAAAGCCTATTTAGAAAATCGAGGGATTCTCTCAGCCATGGTTATAAGGGGCTTTTAATTTGAAACAAGTGCTGAGTTTGAAATGACGGTTGTTAACTTTACAAAGACATGGAGCGGATAAAAAGTAAATATACAAAAACACAGAGGGATTAATAAATAACGGACCGTCTATAATGTAGTTTGTTTCAAATGAAGCTGGGAGCCGCTGCAGTTGTGGTGAGCAAAAGCCCTGCCGCTATTTGTTAATGTTATTACTTTATGTCCGACTGTGAGGATGTACCATTGTTTGCTAGCTTGATGCTAATGACAGTAATGTTAACTCAGCGGGTTGACAAAGTGCCTCTGCTGTTTCACACCATCATTTCCCCCTTTTACTCTGTGTGGTAACATCCCTAGAGGAAATATTAAAAATGCTGGGGTATTGTTGTCATACAGTTGTCTACGGCAGCAGATCGTTCTGTGTTTCTACTGGTCAAAGTGACGGCTGTGATGGGAGAATTGGATCTCAGTGAAGGGCAAGTGGTCCGTAACTTTAATTTTGGAGACAAAAAATGTAGGCTTAGCGCCCTGTGGTCCATTGCCCAATAGGAAATGTAGAATACTCAAAAGTACCTTTAAAGTAATTGAGTTACTTTACTCAGAGTAACGCAGTAAAGTAACTGGTTACTTTTTCTTAAAAAAGGTACTTTGATTACTTTTAAAGTAACCCTTACCCAACACTGGTCTACACGTGTACAGATATTTTTGAAACGGATACTTTGCTTTACGATTAGGCCTTTCATTCACACGCAAACAGAGTATTAGGTCACTAAAAAGGGGATTTTTTTAAAATTGCCTTCTACGGTAGGGATGGGTGTCATTAAGATTTTATTGATGCTACTTCTTTTATCGATACTCCGTATGGATTTGGTACTTTATTGGTTCTTTTTGATTTCTAAGTAATTGCATTTTAGAAATATACAAATTTAAAAAGTGCAGTGTAGTGTAGTAAGTGTAGCTGCCATCAGCTCCAGTAATTTTTGAGTTATCTTCACTTTGTTTCCACAGCAGCTGGTCGGCTGTTCACTCCACTGATTACCGTGGAGTGTAGGTGTGTGTGTGTGTGTGTGTGTGTGTGTGTGTGTGTGTGTGTGGATGGTGTGTGTATGTGTGTGTTCCATCAGTTCCATCTTTGCTCATCAAATGAGCTTCAGGGTCGACCATTAGTTGGGAGTATAGAGTCCCTAAAAGAAGCTCTGCCTTTTCTTTTAAGGCCATCAAGGAACAGAACAAACTCCCTGACAGTTTAAAAACATGTAGGCCTATAGATTCCCATATTCCAGATTTTCCTTGCTGCACAGCACTGGTTCATATGGAGTACGCTGATACCTGTGGCCCCTTCCTGAGATGAAATGGACGGGCGCCGTGCACTGCAACTTGGGCAGTACTTGTTTGTAACATGGCTAAACTGACTCATTACTGACCCATATACATAACCCATATTTTTTCCTGTGATGTCAAAATAATGAATTTTAAGAAACCACTCCTGTCTACACTGATTTGGCACAAACACATTGTGTGCATACAATGTGTGTATTTTATGAGACTCCTTAATGGGGGTGAGTAGAGAGTGCTAAGTGGGATTATTTAATAATATTGCACAGCGTTAGGTGTAATGATAGATACTGGAGTGTATATTCAGCTCTATGATTGATTTTAGTATTTGTTGTATTTTGAATTTGCATTTGCATCGACTACATTAGCTTTAAGAGTGACTGTGTCCACCTGCCCAGGTACTAAAGCTGGAAATGAGCTAGTAGCTAAATCTAGTAGGATGCAACTCTTCTCCCTCTGTGAGATAAATGCTGTTGAATATGGTTCCCGAATGAATAAAAATAAATTATAAATAAATGTAATAATCTCAACAAAACGAAGAGGAGGTGACCATGAAAGACTTTGAAACAAAGCGCCAGCTGAACGCCTGTCCCTGTATCTCCTCTTTAATGGAGCTCAGCGCCGATGATCGGGGAGACAAGGTGTGATGGCTGTCATGGCAACACTGCTGCCACTATATGGTGTGATGTGACTGGTTGCTTTGGTTACAGCGGCAGTCGTGTTTGGCAAAGGGAGGAGAAGGGAGGAGAAGGGAGGTGGGGATGCATGTCTGTTAAAATTAGTGAAGCTTGCAGATAAACAACACAGTTAAAGTTTCTCCACAGGTCATACCGTCAGAAGAAATAATAAACTTTCATGAATGTGGGATATTTTCTTGTTTTTGGTGTTTATGTAAGAAAATCTGACGCACTCTGGTTCGGCGACACTCACAGCTGCAGGTTTTCACAGCTGCCGACATCGACAGCACTGTGTTCCTTAGGTTTCTTGAAGGAACCAAGGCTTAAACTTTTGATGGGTTTTCCGATCCAGCTTTTCCTACGCCTTCCTGGGATTTAAATGTGCAGCAAAACAGCATCTCTAACTCTCTGCATCTGTAATAGAATTTTAAAAATGGTCTGAAAATGTGGTTTGAGGCCGGCTTATATGATGTGTCACATCTGACTTCTGATTAAATATCAGTTTTATTTTGGGAAACTGTTCCAAAGCATTTAGCAAACAACTTTTTTCCATGAATCTATGCCTGTGTTTTCAGCATAAACCAAGAATATGACTAGCTTTACTTCTTGAGCATACTACTGTAAAAAACAACAACAAAAAAACATGTGTCAGCCGGCTCTGCAAAGTGGCTGCAGCTAACAGTGAGAATAACAGGCTATGTCACACTGATTTCGCTCTGCAGATTGACTTCACACAGAGATATGAGTGTTATGCACATTACACGAGTGTGGACACACTTAGACACAGTATCCTGTCGCTACAAGCCTCACAGACACTGTCGAGATTGAGCAGATGCAGTAGGAATAATGGAGAAAGACAAAGTATAAGACAAGACAGGTTGGACAAGGTTTTCCTGTCTCTCACTGACCATCCTGTTTCCAATGTGGTGTTTTTACACTAATCATCACACTTCTGGATTATTTTTCTCAGTCTTCCGTTTTTTTCTTTTTTCGAAGACCATGTCTGCACTACCGTTTCAATTATCAGAAGTGAAAGTGATGTGAAAGAGGGAGACAGGAGAGATTAAAATGAAAGTGTAAAGACGAGTGCAGGGCATTTTTTCCAAAGCTTTCTGTCAGTTAAAACATATTTACTCTGGTTAAAAACTAACTGAACAGAACAAATTTTCATATCTAATGATGTGTTCCAATACCCATACGACCACACTATTTAGTATGCCACAAAAGGATTTAGTATGTCCCAGTACATATTGTGTCAAATGCAATATGCACTAGAACTAGAATAAGAACTAGAATTACCGCCTCGCAGTCGTACGCCTTCGCAAACCAGTCAAGTTGAACTTACAGTTTATATCTATGTCTGTACAATCATGGAAGCTTCATAAACACAACACAATGTTTACAAACCAGATATACAAGTTCTTTTTAATCACACAAACAGCCTGTTAGCTAAGCTAGCACGCCATCATACAGTCTCTCCAAAATCCATCGCAAAAGATCAAATATTTTAATGTACTCAAGGCAAATTCCAGACTGAAATATCACAGAGGGGTATAGGCAGGCATATCGGATATCCCGGAGTTTCCCATAGGAATTTATAGACTTCCAAATGCCTTGTATTCGTACCATTCTCGGAACCCATCGGCTGTATTCGGCGTGTGACTTCCGGCAGATGGCGATACAGCCTCTGGGGGCAGACCCCCGATTTTTTGGCATTCCGTTTTGATTTGGGCGGAGGAAGCGAACTTCCGTTTCCGACTTCCGTTTATATATAAGTAAATGTGCTGTACCATTGAGATGGATTCAGAGTTTGCAGTGACGCCAATTATGTTCCGCCTCGTTAGTTCACCGCACGGACCGTTTAACCTGGCAACAACTGCAGCCGGCTCAAACCGAATTGGTCAATATCATGCGGACTACAAACAGCCTACAACCAGAAACCAGGACTCTTCCGCTCTTCTTCCGGAGGCAAGATCTCCGGGGTTTGCCAACAGACTCTACATTCACTGAATGTATATAGAGACTATATTCGTACACATACATAAGTGGAAATAAGGCGTGAGTCCTAAGGGATGTTTGTGCCAAATTTGAGGAAATTCTCTCAAGGTTGTCCAGACATATTATGTTTCTGAGAATGGGACAGACAGACAATTCAGAAACATACTAACTCTAGCCACGGCCATCGCCGGCGCAGGGGCATAAAAATGCGTAAACGTCCTACTGCATCCAGTCGTGTTTCGCACTGTGCATTGCAGCATACTTTTCAACTGAGCCACAGACAGAAGACAGTGCGTGCTACGGACTGCAACAGATATATGAGCAAAGAGGGTCAAAGGTCAAGGCAAAATGCTATGACGAAGGAGTATCTCCCAAGTGTGTGCATACTCCATGCATGTAAGGGCAGCTGCAGAACATACTGACAGTAAAAAGAAAAAGTGTGCGATTCTAAACGCAGCAAAAATATTCCTCACAGAGTATTTCATTAACTATTCACATGTTTTCCAATTTCAAAGTTAAGAATTCACTGGACGTACTGTTGATGGTGATCTTGGCCGACCACTTGGAGGTGCCGTCCAGGACACTCTGCTTGATGCTCTTCATATGCTGGACGTGGATCATCTTGGTGACGTTGAACACTCTCCGGATCTCCTCAAAGATCTCTGGCTTGTTCCTCTCGCGGATCTTCATCCTGTCCTTCATAGCCATGATAATGTGCTGTGTCCGGTCCTCTGCCCCGGTCTTGGAGCTCTTCTCAGCTGCTCCTGAAGGATGAAGGTAGGAAGAAACGAAGAAGGGTGGATGATGACTTCCAGAGGGTAAAAGTGAGAAAACTACATGATGAACCTCGCTTTTCCTTTTAGGTTTATTAGTATGGTGTTTTGGTCTGGTTCTCTGACATTACCCTTCATCCCTCCACACACTTATCCCACAGCATTTCTGCAGTTCAACAAAACCACATCACAGAGCAACGTCTGCTTTGCCGAATGTATCCCCTTGTAAAATTTTCGCTCAGGGATTTTTCTTTGCAAAGCTCAACTTAACTGTTGGAGCTCTGACATCATACAGTTGAAAGGCAGCTGCAAAAAAGTATTAAGCTCAAAGGCAAACTCCTGATCAGGGAAGTAAGTCTTACAATCTCTAAAACAGCACTGACACTTTTAGCAGACTTTTCAGTCAGTTCACTTGTTCACAGGAAGCAATAATAAAGTACAAAAATATTTTTGGGGTTGGGATAGATCTGTATATGGTGCAGAATATGGAATGTTTCTTATGTGATTCAGTTTTTTGCGAGTTTAATAACTTTACTCACTCTGCAGGCAGTCGGCGTTCAGCAGCTCTTGGCATTTCTCATGCACTTTGACCCCGCACTCTGCGCAGCGCATACCCTGCCGGGCGATGCCCCACAGCAGACCCTCGCACTCGTAGCAGTAGGTCGGTGTAGTGGCCGTCCAGACCTCAAAATTGTGTGGCGTGGTGCAGGAGATGGGGTAGATCAGAGACTGCAGGGTCTTCTTGTACACATGGTTTTTCTGTTGGATTAAAAAAACAGAGAGATGGATGGAGGAGGTGTCGGACAGAGGTAGAGGGTGTAAGAAACGAAGCAGGATTAGAGAAGAGAGCCGTGTGAGGTTTTTTTTTATTAAGTGTGGGATGAAGTGTGAAAAAGGTGAGTAGGGACAGTTGTTAACAAGAACACAACAAGACAATCGAAAGGACAGTGGATGACACAAATTCAACGAACAATAAAAAGAGAATGAATTAATAACTCTCTGTGTAGCAATGAATTAAATGAAGATTAGGCACAAATTGGTATTCTTGTGATTTGGCGCCCCTACGGTCTCAGAGAAAGATACACTACTGTGGCTGTACATAAATACAGCCACAGTAGTGTATCTTTCTCTGAGACCGTAGGGAAAGATACACTACTGTGGCTGTACATAAATACAAATTGTGCAAACTTACACTGTCCTGACATGTCTGTCTCACAGCTAACAGGAAAACAATGACAGTCTGACAGCAGAGTGTACATCCCCGCCTGTTATTTATGAAAGATTACACTATAGGCTGCAGCCTTATTGGTATGATCCCCATCTCTCAGAGTCATATGGACTGCTGTACATGTGAATTTGAAGAGAAGCTAAAGGATCTCAAAGGCTCAAATATGACATCAGAAGCCAAAAAAGTCATAGCGTAGGGTAATATTACAGGATTTAACATGACTGACTCTTCATAGTTCTACTTACTGTAATATTGGAAATGAACACTAACATAAAAATAATAAAAAAGAATGAGAACGTTTTAGGTTTGCTGCAATAGTTTTCTGCCCATAGATATGGTTTGCTTAGTGTTTGAATATGACTGATGGCATCCAGAAAAACAAAAAAACTCTTTGAGACAGGGATAACACCAATAAGGTGACAGCCCCAATCTTTTACAAACATCACATTATCCAACACATTCTCACTCCGACCTCGTCGTCACGTATGGACTTTGCACGTCCACATACGACATACAAGGTACCCTGGGTGTGTTGGTTGTTGACGTTCTGGGACACTGTGTCAAGTTCTGCCTGTTACATGCATTGTCTTCATTCAACATACACTTCCATTTTCATGAGAAATTTAATGTTTACATACAGTCTCTTTCAAAATAAATGTACTACTTTGGTACAACACCGCAAATTGACTTTTTTTCCTTCAACAACAAACACACGTGGTTGGGTTTGCGCAGATGTGAGAATGACAGAGGCGCCATTCTTCCTGTTACAAGTCAGTGTACCATCTAAATGATTTTGAAGCTATAGTTTATATTTGCTAAAACTGTCACTATATTCTGAATGAAGTACATGAGACAGAAAACGATCATGTCTCTCCTCTTCTTCCTTCTAGAATCTGCCACAGCACACCAAAAACAACCAATCAGAGTCGAGGAGTTCCTAACGCAGCTGTTAATTCATGTAAACCACTGCTTGTGAAAACTCAAACTGTTACACTAGGCAGTGCTGAGCAAATATGAATCAAGATTCTGCTACTGCATTGTCTATTTCTCACCTCAGATGTTTTCAGAAGCATACTTGAGTGTACTTTTCTAGCTGTAAAATGAGAAAGTTTGTGACCCAGCCGCCATTTTGGATACAGTTGACTGAAGTACAAAGCCCAATCCACCAACACAATCAACCTTCTCATTTTACAGCTAAACAGTACACTAAAATATGTTTCTAAAATCATTTGAGACAGTGCAGTAATAGAATCCTGATTCACATTTGATCAGCGTTGCCTAGTTTGACCGTTTGGGCAAAGTTCATGAGCAGTGATTGACATGATTGACAGCTGTGTTTGAGACTCCTCAGCTCTGATTGGTGGATTTTGTTCACATGTTGTAAGGCTATTAGAAGCACTACAACGCAATGGAGTAGGGAAAGGAATATGTGTTGGTAAAATTAACAAAAGGGTAATTTCGGCGGCTTCTGTAAAAAATAATATAAAAATGTGGTTATGTACGACAGTGCCAATTTGAGTTTTAATAATGCTTGGCTTCTTTATTGATAAAGTAAACTCTGCTGTTGCCCAGCGTAGGAAGAATGTGGGAGGAGGTGAACACATCTCCACAGAATGAGAGGACACCTTGACTAGAAGCCCAGCTAGATTTGGTAAAAAAAGAACTTGTATGGGGGGGGGGGGTGAGTCATTATTATCAGGATTATTAGTATTTTCTTCATCATGGTAATAATTGCAAATCTGTGGTAATGAACATAGGGGAGATTTGCATGAGAAAACTTTCCTTCTGTTGTCAGTTTCACTGCTGTCATCTCTGCCTCTGTGTTCACTCAATCTTGTTCTAACTGCTTTGAGTTTTATTGATCCGACCTATGTTGCTACGATTCTTGTGCTTTTTGACTTTTTGGTTCTGTGCTTTTACCTGATAATATTTCCTCTCATTTACTTCCTTGTCCCTGTAAAGCATCCTGTTGCATCCTTTATAGATCACACCACTATGGCTACATACTGTCCTGTTGCTATTGCCAGTGTTATGACTAAAAACATATAGATGATGAGTGGATGGCTAAGTCTGGCATCATATTTGCTCACATTTTCCATGTTTTTCACAGGTTGTCAACTTGAGTATATCTGCTCAGTGTCTGTATTCATGAGCCAGGAAAAAAAGTCACACATTTCTCTACATATGCTTCTTCCATCTGTCAGTGGGATCTAATTATAGAACAGCTAACATTGAGCATACAGTATACACACTTAACATTTTCCTGTACTCTGTATGAGCAACAACCTTCTGTACATCTGGTAAGGTCAGTAACTTACAAGGCACATACACTCACCAGCCACTTTATTAGGTACACCTGTTCAACTGCTCATTAACGCATATAGCTAATCAGCCAATCATGTGGCAGCAACTCAATGCATTTAGGCATGTAGACGTGGTCAAGACAACCTGCTGAAGTTCAAACTGAGCATCAGAATGGAGAAGAAAGGTGATTTAAGTGACTTTGAACGTGACATGGTTGTTGAATCAGAATTTGGCGTCATGGATCCATCCTGCCTTGTATCAACGGTTCAGGCTGCTGCTGCTGGTGGTGTAATGGTGTGGGGGAGATTTTCTTAGTACCAACTGAGCCTGGTTTAAACACCACAGCCTACCTGAGTATTGTTGCTGACCGTGTCCATCCCTTTATGACCACAGTGTACCCATCTTCTAATGGCTACTTCCAGCAGGATAACGCACCATGTCACAAAGCTCAAATAATCTCAAACTGGTTTCTTGAACATGACAATGAGTTCACTGTACTCCAATGGCCTCCACAGTCACAAGATCTCAGTCCAATAGAGCACCTTTGGGATGTGGTGGAACGGGAGATTCCAACCTGGTACTAGCAAGGTGTACCTAATAAAGTGGCCAGTGTAGGTATGTTTGTGTAAGTAAGTAAGTAAGGAGCTTAATTTAAACGCTCTGAAATACACTCGTAACAATAATAATTATGCAATTTATTCTATTGCCGCCTTTCAAAGCACTTAATGACACCTTTCAAGACACAGTTAAAAACAAATAAGCAGAAATGTATCCACAGATCATAAATTCAACTAAAGCAGTATTATACACTAATAAGTAAATAAAATAACTAACTACAAAAACTACGAATATATTCTGCATTATGAAGTCATCATCGCTGCTAAATTTGATGTGTGTCACCATCTGAGTCAACATCAGACTGAATATGCCAGCGAGAGCAAATACAGATATCTTATAATAAATACCAGAACCACATTAACCTTTCCAATGTAAACATGCAAACTATCAACACAAATATTAAAAGGTATTAAAACTTGATTTTGACACAGAACCCCCTCTGCAAGACAGTGTATGAAGATTAGTTACAAATGCAGGAGTTGCTTTAATACCATTTAAGTTTTATTAATCAATCAAATCATAATGAATCTGGGGCCTTCAGGGCCTCTGAGGGTTTGAGGCCCCAGGACAGTTTCCCACTTTAAAGGGCAGGTCCATTCATTTTGAGGGGTATTTGTTAAGGTTTAAATCATTCCGCAGCTTCCCAGTTGTGTTTTTTATGTATTCAAATCCAAAAGTTCAAATTTAGTTTGAAATACGTATGTTTTTGTATCAAAATGCTGTTTTCCTAAGTAGGTTTCTACATGATGACACTGCTATGTATAAACCCTGTCATCCTCATAATGTGCCTCTTTGTGACTGAGCCAAGTCTTCTTTGGGGTTTGTATGTTACCAATCTTTTAACTCAAGGCTGTTCTCATGCACTGTTCGTATGTTTCCTTTTGACAAGTAATGTGCCAAAATTTGTACATATCTCACGTAATCATGCAACAGCAATTTGCGTTTAACCCACACACTCAGGAAGGCTGTGATTGTGTAACCAATGCGCTGACAGGAGTAAAGAAGGACATGCTCAGGTAGGAGGCAGGTTGGGGTGGTGGATGTTTCACAAAACACAGGACTTTCCCCAGGAGACTGGTGTTCATGACACAGTCATTTAAGGTACGTCCTTTTATGTTTCTTTTTCTAAAGCTAGCCACTGTATCTTTATATTTATTACTTAACTTTACGTTAAGGATGTAATGTCATTCATGGAGTGCTAATTTGTAGCATATCATCCAAACCGTCGTCTGAGGATATGCTGCTAAATTTGCTATAACTAGCATGAAAGCTAAGAATTGTAGTGCTGTGAATGTCACATTAATTCGGATCCAAAAGTCACACAATAACGCAAACAAAACTAACCAGTCGATGCAGTAACAGACCCGCAACTCCTGTGTTCTGTGAGGTAAAATTATTGTGTTTGTCAATGGAGTCTGGCAGCTTTGAAGAGAGCGATTTAACGGCTTCCCCGTGAGAAAGTGCTGTCTGATGGCAAGGTAAGGTGATGAAAATATTACACCTCGTATAAACCCACTTCAAAAAATCTAAACTAACCTTTTCAGTTTTTTTTGTTATTATTGGCGCTCACTGTTCTAACAATCACTGCTTTTTGCTAACGGCTATGTAAGCGTTTCCATTTAAAGCCTCTGGAAAAGAACAAAGATGGACCCATACAACCTTTCATACCAGTTATTGACATTTACTGTTTGTAATATCTGTGCTTACCTGTATGTAAACAAGGTGAACCAAATATAAGGAACCTTCAGTAGTAGCTTACTCCACAGACTACAGCCTACACAGTCAAAGCAACAACTACAAAGGCTGTAAAATCAAAGAAAACCTAGAATTCTAAGTATTTGTTATTTAAGCTGTGCAGGTACATTTTTGTTTTTCAGGTCATCAACTCAACCTGTGCATGTGATAATATGTAAAGCTAGCAATGCTTAAAATTCCCTCTGAAAATCCCCCATAGAGCCACTGTTGCACATTTGAATTAAAGTACATTTAATCTGTTAACTAAAAATAAGGGACTTTGGTGAGCTGTACACTTAAAATAAGTTGCTTTTTATATTTTATTATTCACAGCATTCCCTTTTAGTGTAATTAAACTGTATAAATTACAGTCTTTTAAATCTGGTGGTTGCTTTATTCTCCACTGGTGCTGCATTCAGTGACCTACGGTACTTTACCACCTGAATAATTCATGTTTCACCTGATATAATGTAATCACCACCATGAATTGACACAGTACGGTACAGTAGGAAAGGCACAAAACAAACAATAATAAACAAACATGAAACCTCATCCAGTCAGGCAGGCCTTGCTGCTCCTAGCTCCATTAAAAACCTGAACCTGCCTCAAGTTGACTCAGCAAAATTCAGAGCCTACAGTATATTGGATCGCCAACAAACAGATTAACAATACTGCTACAGCAAAATGACGGCAGGAAAACAGCTGGCGAGAAAAGTATGAGGAAGTTTGTCGGTAAATGTAAGTTAAGGTTTGTGTGGATCCCCATTAGCAGGCATCACGATGACAGCAATCTCCCCTGCAGATAACTATACAATCATAGCTTCAGCATATATATACTGTATAAATATGTGTGCGTGTGTGTGTGAGAGAGAGAGAGAAATGTGAATTTGGCCACTCACAAGCTCCTCATCTTTCAGGGAGGTCCGTGTGGCCAATGTGTGGGCGAGTCCAGCTTTCCTGGACTGTATCATAGACTGGAAACAAGAGAAAAGAGATGAGGCGTCAGTGATAAACAGCCGCGGAGAAAAAACAAAAACAAACAAGGTAAAAGAGAGAAAAGAAAAAGACAAATAAAACTTTCAGTTTCTCTGTGTGATGTCAGGCTCTTTCAACTTAGAAGGTCGTGGAATCTTGCAAGAACAATGCACATATTTGTTCTTCTGTCTCTGAACACACATTTTTGGAAACATGTCACACATCTCTCCTTTACACCCACTCATGTTTGTATGGTATTACTATATCTGTGTATCTGTCTTCACTGAATGTGTTTTACTCAAGTTTCACTCAAGCTTTTTTGGGCAACGCCACAGATCTGGATACTTCAGCTGACTTTATAGTATCCTAAATACTTTATATATTGAATTAAGAGAAACTAAAGCTCAGTTGAGAGAAGTTTTGCTTTCACAGAATAGTTCGTCATTTTGGAAAATACACTTATTTAGTTCATTATTTATTGTTAATATGAAGCTGCAGCTAACAGCTCAGCACAAAGACTGAACACAGGGGGAAACAGCGAGTCTGGTTTGTATTTAAAGATAACAAAATCTGCCTATCAGCACCTCTAAAGATCACAAATCCATACAGACTTTAAAACCTCTAATTAGCTATTTTACAGGCATTTATATGTAGGGTTGGGTACCACTCACTGTCAAACTGATACCTGGGATCGGGTAGTGGTAACCAACGGTAACCAATTTTTGTGACTTTACACCTCTGTAATATCAGAGAATAATTTATGAACAAGCTTCAGGGGTGACAGAAGACAAAAAGAAAAGAAAAATAGACCAGACACCCAAAATTATCATTTGAAGTAGCCACAGAGCTCCATGGCTGGCTTCTTGACTTCAGGGCACATCCACCTCCTGTCTGAAGTTGATCCCAGCAGATCAGCTCCACTGCCGGCCTCTGAGCTCTGTGGCTGGTTTCATGCCTTGGGGCACTTCATGGCACTACTGCCTCTTGCCTAAAACCAGAAGTCTAACCCAGATGTGCTCTAAGGTATAGAGATTTGGCAAAGATGGATTCAACAGTAATCAGTACTCAGTAGTACTGACCATAGACTGTACAAATAATGGATGTAGCTAACATGGCATCACTCTTTGGTTTGTGAACTCTTGTTTTGAAGCCTTGAGTTGGGCATTTTGTCTGTCACCATCTTGTTTTTTGGAGACAGAAGTGACTGTGTTTGGATGAGGGGGTGGAGCTGAGTCTGACTGAGGACCTGAGGACAATGTCTGCAGACAGCCCGTTACTCAAAGCAGCCTGCACTTAATTATGCGGAACTTTAAGCCATAATAAAATGTAAACGGGTGAGTTATGTGAAAAGTCATATTTTGTACGGCTGTCATGAAGTGGGAAAGTAGCTACAGAGACTATAAAAATTTTTTCTTACCAGGCTGTAAACGTTTATTATTTCTACTGTAAAATTACACATTTCAACATGGGGGTCAGTGAGGATCATGGACTGTAAAAATAATGGACGTAGCCACCATGACGTCACCCACTGGTTTGTGGACTGCCATTTTGAAGCCTTGAGTTTGGCATTTTGGCCGTCGCCATCTTGGAGTTTTGCAACCAGACATGGAATATTTGTTAGAGAGGGTGGAGCTCTGGAGGAGCGAGGGGTGGATCTGACAGAGGGAGCCAGAGGACACTACGCACACCAACCTACACCAGCAACCTGGCTGAGTGATGCATCCGGCTTTGCCGTGCTAAATCGCCGCTAACAAGGTTAGCTTCTTTTGGGGCGGCAGTAGCTCAGTCCATAGGGACTTGGGTCGGGAACCGGAGGGTCGCCTGTTCGAGTCCCCGTCCAGACCAAACTATGGAGCATGGACTGGTAGCTGAAGAGGTGCCAGTTCACCTTCCGGGCACTGCCAAGGTGCCCTTGAGCAAGGCACCGAACCCCCCAACTGCTCGGAGCGCCTGTCATGGGCCGCCCCACTCTGACATCTCTCTACTTTGTGCATGTATTGGTCCTGTTTGTGCATGTGTGTGTTCGGACCTGTGTGTAATTGACAACAGAGTGAAAAAATTGAATTTCCCCTCGGGGATTAATATATAAAATTAAATTAAAATTCCAGGTAAACTTTAGAGAGAAGTATTAAAGTAATCTCAGTGATGTTAGCTAATTGTATACATGTCTGCAACGTTATTATGGCGTATTTCACGTAACTTATCGTCTGTAAGTAAATGGTAAAGTCATAATGAGGACTGACTCATTTCTGGAGCCAGCCTCAAGTGGCCATTTAAAGAACTCTTTTTGGCACTTCCCTGTTGGCTTCAGTTTTCAGCCTGCTTTGTACTGTCACAATTTAGTCAGTACCCTTAAAAGTACCAAGTTCAGTACCCAACCACTGATATGTGATGGACTGTTTCTTGGCAGGAACCAGTAACTTTTTGGAGCTATACTTCTTGCCTGCTAAGTGGCCTTAAATGTAATGGACAAAGTGGAATGAGTCCACTCATCTAGCTCTCCGATAGAAAGCGTGTTTACCTAAATGTCAAACTGTTCTTTTAAGAAAAAACAGTAAAGCCTTTATTACAGTTTTCCTTCAACAAACTCCTAAAATATCTTGTGCCCCTCAGTGTTTTGCATAATATGTGTGGTTCTGTGGATGTGGAGTGGGATGCCAGTGTGCTGTAGCGGGATGTTTTGGACAGGATCTGGACAGCCTTTCATCATCTCCAGCATAAACAAAATACTGAAGTTGGATGTATTTTTCATCCTACAGCAGCACTTTAAAGCTGCGATACACCTTAGAAATGTCCTTCAAATAGAAGCGCGGCTCTTTTTTTAACCCAAAGAGGCGCCGCTCACAGCATCTCACCAACGCATGCTGTCAGTTATCATTAAGTTAAACTGATTACTGCCATTTATTTGCCACAGCACTCTGTGATTCATCAGCTCCTTATATATCTCTCTTTAAGAAACTGTATTTAAGTGACATGCAGGGAGTTGATGGTGGGTGTATTTGGTTTGGTTTAATTTATTTTACATTACAAGGAGGACATCAAGCCACACATAACTTATCAAGGATAACAGAATGAGGTGTCGTTGATGTGGAGATAGCAAATATGCAGCAGTTCTGGTGAGTGCTGTGGTGTGCAGCATGTTAACAGGACAACACAGATTATCAAACATACCACAGATCTTATTGCTTAGTGATGTGCTTCATCTCTCCGGCTATGGATCAGCAGGAATGCCTTTTTAAATATTATCTTAACAATGCTGAGGCTTTTAGAGCTCCAGATATCTAATACCTCGACAGTGAGCTTTTCCCCATCCATTCTGACAGCTACTGCACAAGACCACAGAAGAAGACGTGCCATCACCTTGCAAGAGAAAAAGTCAAGGTGCAGCAGCTGAACAGCAGGGGTCTGAAAATATGCTGCTTTTCTGAAGCTGTCCAGCTTTGATGTTGGACAAAAAAACAGTGGTGTATGTGGTCATGCAGCATGGACTGAGTGCCGTGTTAGAACAGCTTAAATCATTTGAGGTGAGAAGAAAGTCTAAAACTCACATTTGCAGGAGCAGGAGGAAATGTAATCACTGTTCTAAATTCACACGCTGGCCACAAAAGTGCTGACCACCCTGGTGTGTGTGATTGTAACATGTTGGAAAAGGAACACTCAGGGAACATAAAAACTGCTGGCTTTAATCAAAACAATATATGTTTAGTCCAAATAACCTCTGAAAAATGAAGCAGAAGTGCCAAAAAGTGCAGTTCCTTGAATGGCCACTTGAGGCTGGCTCCAAAATCAAGCCAGTCTCCATAGACCCCCATGTTGAAATGCCCAACTTTACAGCAGATATAAACATGTTTACAGCCTGGAACGAAAAACAGTTTTGATTTAGGTAGCTAATTTCAGCATTCATGACAACTGTACAGAGGGTGAATATTTACTTAACTCATCTGTTTAAATGTTATTAAGGTTTAAGGTTACGCATAATTAACTGTGTGGCCACCTTTGAGTGACGAGCCGTCTGTAGACAGTGTCATGGGGCTCTCAGTCAGCTCCACCCCTCGCTCCTCCACAGCTCCAGCCGCTCGCTTTACTGATATATATCAATTATGATGTTTAAACAGTTTCAATATTCATCTTCCATAGTATCAATAGTTTTAATACTACTTTCTCACTGTCTCTTTTCTTCAACAGCTAATTGACACACACACACAGATGCAAAACCCGCACAGCCCCGCCCCCTGTCACGCACAGATTGGTCTTCTCGTCACTCGTCTCATCTGTGCCAGTCGCATACAGACTTTTGGAGCTTGGTGTTGTTTTGTTTTACTTGCACTTTATTGCTTTTTGAATGTGTGGCAATCTCAGAGGCTTTTGAACACGTGCCAGGGTTCCCACACAGGCATCGACAACATTTCAAAACTTTTCCAAGACTTTTCAAGAACCCATTATAAAATTTGACGACCGTATAAGACAAAAAGTAATGTATGGTATTCTTTTCTCCAAATGTTAATTATCAGCTGAAAATCAAACAGCAAACTTTTCTTGTCTCTGATAGTTGGTTATTTTTGTGACATTATGTTGAAGGATACCCACAGAAGATTACTCTAATGATTACTTTCATTACACACAACGAAATTTCATTCCGAAAATTACTTTTACAAACTTTCAGTGATTTTTACTGATTCCATGACTTTTCCATGTCTGGATTATGAAATTCCATGACTTTTCCAGGTTTTCCATGACCTTGGGAACCCTGATATGCACTACTGCAGAAATAATACTGTTGTCATTAACATAAAGTTTTAATCACTGTTAATGTTTACTTTAGTCATTTTGCTATTATCTGCTACTAACCAGGAAAATAAAGCTCATTGTCATGTTACAGCCCTGTTATATTTATCTTTAAATACAAAAAACTAAATTGTATAACCAAAATTGAGCATAGTGTTAGTTCAGGCAGGACATGATGTCAAGCTGAGGTCATATCCCAGCTACATCAGCTGATCTCAAACAGCCCAATCAACTGGAGTCAGCTGATAGAAAACATGATTCCTTTCTATGCAACCAATCGGCGAATCTCATTCAGGGCGCCCTATTTAAACTGCTCTGGCCTGCCTACTGTTGCTGCTTCCTCTGCAAGCTGCTTTGCAACCCGCCTCCACCCCAGCTCCTCCTTTTCATGCTGTGTCTGACTTATCAAAGTCATTTCTGTTTGTCATTGATGCTGCTCTGTTCTGTTCCCGGGGGTCTTTGCTGCTGCTCTCGTTGCCTCAGGCTTTCCTAGTTTACATGTGGAAGGGCAGGGAGGTGTGCTCTCTCTGCCCAAAGGCTTTCCACATAGGTGCGTGGAAGAGGCTCTCCATGAAGGCTCATGAAAAGGCAGAGAGGCCCCAGAGCAGAGCCACACCGCCAAATATAATACTGCAAATTGAAATAAAGTTTTCTTTGACAACACTGTTCATGACTGAAATGTCATTTATTCTCTGTGGCAATGAACATAGTATCATATATCAGTAATTTTCAGGGTATTATATCTAAGATCCAAATTCCAATATCATGACAACACTAGTCAATGCTCCAAAAAACAAGATGGCAACAACCAAATGCCGAACTCAAAGCTTCAAATTGGGAGTCTATATACTTGTGGGTGATGTCACCGTGGATACGTCCATTATTTTTATATATTATATGGTTAAGTGATGCTTTACACTCCTCTGCACATTTTTTCTGTCTTTTCATGTGAGGACTTTGGATAGGACTTTGTAGGTTTTGTTGCTTTGTGGTGAGATCTTATGGCATTTTGTCCTATTTTGTTGGGTTGTTAGTTTTATCGCCAAATGTTCTTAGTCTCATCTTTATAATTTTGTGCTGATTCCTCTCCTGACTGTTTTTCTGTCTCTTCATGATTTGTTTAAGCTGAAATACTGAACTTAACAAAGTTGAACTAGACTGTCCCTGACACTTTATATCTTCTCAAACCTCACGGGTGCTTTTCTGCTCAGACTTCTGCTGTTGAGAGAGTGACCTTCACTCTGGCGGACCCACTTCAAATCAAAGGAGACAAGTTTCTTTAATCAGATGAGTCAAGTTTTCTTAGATCTCAGTGACTGAATATTCACAGTTCTAACCACTCAGATGACAGACCGCGGCCAGTGGATGTGCGTCTCAGCTTCCCTTAAGTACTTCAAAGTAAATGTGAGACTAAAGGGAGAAAGACACAAATTACCGTAACATTCATCAACATTTGTGTGTTTACAGAGGCAGGTGTCTTATTTTAAAAGGAGGAGCTGCTGACTTGCTGAATCACAGCAAGACGAACCTGTTAATTAAGACTTGTAGCTAAAAACACCAAACAGTGAAAAAGCCTCTCTGAGCATCAATCGACTGAGGGAAAGCTGAACAAGAAGGAATTGATTTTCTTGTGTTTGTCAGAAGGTTATGAAATGAACAATGTGTGCTATTTGTATGAGGGTGCATACAGTATGTGTGCACACTCATACAAACACACATAAGGAGCCTTCACACAGAGCAGTGCAAGTGCTTTGCAAGAATCAGGACCATTAGAGAGTTTGCAACAAGGTCCATCAAACAAATGGTAAAACTCAGCAGCTGAAATCTGGCTTCTCTCGTACTCACCATAGCCTGAGGGCCGACGAATGGAGGGGGCAACATGTGCAAGGAAAGAGAACAAGAAGAAAGAAAAGGTTAGAGACAAACAAACAGGTCCCCCTCTGAGAGGATCAGCAGCATTCACCTTGAATCCAGCTATTCAGTGCTTGCAAACAAATTATTACACAGCGGGTGCCGAATCTCTCCTTTGTACATTTATCCTGCATGTAGCCTGCAAGTAATCACTCCTGAAGGATCAAATTAGCTGATTGTAACATGTCAAACTCTCGTGTTACTCAGCCAGCCTGCTAACATGACTTTTCTCAGCTACTTTCAATGCTGAAGCAAATGTTAACAGGCAATTAAAGCTGAAATCGATAACCAAAGGTGACTGAGTGTGTGGTGCACGGCACTTTCAAAGGGAAACAAAAACTAACAGGGTACAAATAGACAATCCAGCGGTACAGAAAGCAACATTTTTATAGTTGGTGCATGAAACAAAATAAAAAATGAAATCCAGGATAGACAGATGAAAGATTAAACACACCGGGGGCCCATTAGTTTTAATCTATTATTCAGGAGCCATGTTTTAGACATCCACTCACAACATGAACAACCTCAAAAGTAGCTTTAAGTAGATTTTAGTTTGATTTTTGTCTGTAACAGTACGATGAGGTTTTGATCAGGTTCAAGTTTTGTGAGTAAAGTTGCTCCTAGTTGTGAATTGTTTCACTTTGTTGTTGCTTTTTTCATTAACAAATTACCAGGTAACCTGACTGTAAATATATTATATACTGAGCTGGTGGGATGTTAGGCAGTGTTGGCATTGGGGACCTGACAGGTGCAGCATGACAAACCTGTTATTTCTCAGCAGCAGCAGAGTCTGAAGAGCATCTCCACCCACAGCTAGTTAGTCATGTTTACCAACTGACGAAATGTCAATATAAAACACCAAATGAATGAAATTATCTAACGTGGTTCTCTGATTTTCAGGGTTAGTTACAACATACACAGGACTGTCTTAAATGCCAGTTTTCAAACTCTATGGTTTGACTAAAATGAACAATGACAGCAATATAGTCCACGATGAGCAGCGCTAAAATCAACCTGCGTAGTTGTCCCTCCATTGTGACATTAGAAAGTGTCACATTTATCTTGCAAGTGTACTCTTCTTCAACATTTGCTTTACTTCCTGGGTTTTTCCCACATGGAAATTCTGACCAATCAAGAGCAGCTTTCTTGTGCAAGGCATTTGATCTGGTCCTCTTGTAAATGCTGCATTCTCGGTCTGAAAGCACCCTGAGACAGACCTTGTTGTATCACAGTGCAGAAGGAAGTGTGCATCTATTCATCGGCAAGGGTTTCGTGCTTGTGACAGTGAGAGATGAAAACATTAATGGCATCCTCCTCTTCTGAGCTATAATGTTAGCTAGCTCAGTGGTGCTAGGTGAGCTAGCAGTAGATGCACACTTCCTTCTGCGTGGTGATGCAGTTGGCGGGAGTAGTTTGGTAAAAAGAAAGTAGTTCCTACATTAAACTGCTCACAACAAGGTCTGTGGATTACCTTGAGTAACTGGGTCATGATTTCTGGTAAGAGACATTGCTGTTGAGTTTTTCAAATGTACTCTTTTTTGTTGCTTTGAGCACCACAAGCCGAGTGCCATCTAGTTCCATTATATTGAAGAGAAGGCAGACATCTGTACAGACGGTATCTCCAACACTCTGCAACTCACACCAAAACAATCTAGATGGATAAATGGCACTACAAGGGACTAAGAGGGAAAATCTGTAGTTTTGATTTTGGGATGAACTGTTCCTTTAAGGTGTAAAAAAGTCAAGGCTCTGTGAAGGTCAAAATTCATGTCAGGAGTCAAATACTGAGTGATGTGCACTCACCAGTTCACTAACAAGGGGAATTGGTCTCCTCTTGCGGAGGTCTGGCATGCTGTCAATGCCAAACGGTGTGTTTCCCCTGTACACACACAAACACACACAAACAAACAAACCAAAATGCACTGATCAGTATTTAAATAAAGAAAACAAAGGTGCAAACCCCGCATCAGTTAGTCACATTCTCTCATTCTCTCTATCTGCCACTCACACACACCAAAAAGCATGTACTGACCCTGGCTTGGCCCATGGGTGCTTGCTGGGGTCACCATCTTGATCTCGACTCTGAAATAGAATGTCAAAGGTCACAGATTTAGCCATCTGAAGGCTTACAGCGTTTATTGGTTTCATGATTTCATGACTACGGAGCATGCACAAGCACAAGAGAAGAAACAAGAAGAGAAAGAAGAAAGTCAGAAGAAAAAAAACAGGAGAGAAGGAATGAAGGGAATGAACTGGGTTGGTTGAGTTTCAGTATTGCATGCCAAAGAGGACATTTCAATCCATCACACTGCCCCCATACGTATATGAGCATCATAAATCTTCACCTTGTAAACACGTACCAAACCCCACATGCTCTCAGTGAACGCACACCAAATATTGACTTTTGTTTTCTAACAGCGTGTTGTTTTGTCTGACAGCTAGTAAAGAAATACCACAGTGACAGTAACAAACAAAACATGGCAGCCTGACAGACTCAATATCAATACTTCTCATCAATACTGTGTCCTAATAAATACTGACCTATTCGTGTTTGGCATTTTTTATATTTATATCGGGAACAACAAATATTCTTAATAGGGCACAGATGCATTGAGGCTGACATCTCATAAAACCAAAAGCTATTTCATTAGCTTTGAAATGAAACTGTATTTTCAGGATTAAGTGAGTGTTTTCCAGAAACTGACAGAAAGCAATACAAACACAATAAAAAGGAAAATTAAAAAAAGACGCACTGACATGAGAAGATGTCCAAAGCATATCAAGAAAATTGTACAGACAGAACAACTTCTTTTAGGATGTTAATGAAGCTAACGGGAGAGAAACCACAAAAGAAGTAACCTGTTCTGCGTCTTGACTTCCATCTGTAAAACAGCATAAGAACAGAAAAGAAAAACAGTCATGGAATAGCTTGCCTCGTGAAATAACAAGACACACCCTTTATTATTCATTTTGTTATAAATGCTTGGATTATGTTAAAAGTAGCTGCACCACTGAGTTTTCAGATATAAGGGGGTCTGAGGTCATAAATGTTTCATTAACATGTATAATTTATTATAAAAATGACTCTTAATATTTCCCTTCTCCTTCATCCTTAATGTCAGAGTCGCTTTCCAAGGAGATAATTGATGTTTTCTAATTCAGCAAATGGCCACTGCCGGAGCCTCGGAGAGGAGTAAGGGACTCGTGAGTGGCAGACGATACATTACTCTCAAGGGGGTGGAAAATTATACTATCAGCAGAGACCGTTTGGTGCAGTAAATACCGAGGGGACCTTTCAGTACAGGAGCTTATTCATAACCACTGGGTGAACATTCACAAAGAGGATAGTGACAGTTACCCTTTCATCAGTGTAGACACAGACCAAAGAGTGACGGATCAAAGAGTTTTGGTGAGGCTTTGATATGAAGAAGTGAGGTGGAAAAGGAACGTCTCTGAGCAAACAAGCCAATACTTTAATGATGACTTAAAGTTAAGTCAAATCTATAAATATCAAAATAAAAACATGAAAACAAATGAGTCACTCACATAAATTAAAATACCAATGCTCTGCTTAAAACATGAAGAGTGGAAATACTTCCCAAAAAAGAGAAAGAAAGATCTACTGTAAGTCTACCTATTGTTAAATATTCTCTTTCTTCTATCTGACTTCTGAGGCACATGATTGTGTGAACTGATACTGTGTGTTTTTTCTGAGATGTTTTTTTATGTTTCTGAGTATGTTGTTTGACACACAGTATTGCGAGTCATTACTGTATTCCCCTTTCCCACCGAATTAGCGCATGTGAGCGGGTTTTTGTAAGGCGAGAAAACCACTTAAAAATAGGAGACAGACTGCTTTCCCGTTGCCAGTAGACCACAGGGGTGTACATCCCTCTGTAGCAGACTACTATGCCTTTTGTGGTTTATTAGTTAGTTAACGGTTACAAAAAGCAGCATGAAAAATACTGTTTGGATGGTATTTTGTGGCGACCTGTCATTGTATCGCGGCGGCAAAAGGGCTAAAATTTGCGTGCCCATCTGGATGTTGTATTTCCATCACTATCAATCTAAGCTGATAGAAGCTGTGCTAATAAATATGTGATTACTGCAGGGATGATGTTTTTTTTGTAGGCAGATGTGGTAGTTAGCATTGTCCTGGTTGCCCCGTCAAAAAGCCAATGGGATTTTTCAATTGGATTTTTGATTACTGCAGAAAATTAGCTGCTGATACATACTTTGTTCAGTAAAATAATCCTCACAACTGAACACTGCTATTATGATTTTTGAGGCATAAATGCATTTGTCAAGAGTAAAAAATTAACCTTAGGTTATCGCCGAACTACACTACGGTTGCATGACTTAACATCACCACCACCACAAGGCTGTAAAGCCGTGTTTGTTGTGATGACGCTCTCATTAAGAGGCTCATTTAGCCACTCAGTAGCAACTGCCTTTTTTAGAACACCTAAAAGCTTCAAAATTTACGAGTGGGGTATTTACTGACGTGTTTTATGTCTACGTGAAAGTCTCTTGAGCTTGTGTTTACCACAGACTTTATTTCAAGCATCTAACTAAAAACCCATTAAAAAAAACAAACCTTTGACTTTGAGACAAGGGCACCAGGAGTGCTAACATGCTGACTCATTTCCAGGCTTTTAGGACTCATTCCTGCACCACTCTATACAAAAGATTTAAGCAGGTGTTAGTGGGGTTTTTTGTGAAGTGAGAAAAAGAGGCTTATGTTTATGTGTTTTAAATGTTTGCGTGTGACACACTAAATTGCTATCTTAGCCAGGGCTTCCTTAAAAACAAATCTTCCAATCCCAGTGGGACTCACGTGGTTAAATAAAGGTTTAATAACAAAAAATACACATATGTGAGTTGAAACTTATAGCTGACTGAAATAAAATAAAGACAAAATGCAGGTGATGAAACAAAGGATGATCCCAACTTCAAATCCAGTGATGACTACCTGGTTCGAAGTCATCCTGAGAGCATGTGGACATAGTCATACTGGCGAGGTTGCGCCTGGTCTCTCTCTTCTCTCGCAGAATCTGTTGGAAGGTCCTCAGGCACTTTAGCCTACGTTCATCCAGCTGGCTTATCTCCAAGGATGGCTCTGCTGCAACTTCCCCTGCTTTCTCTTCTGGGGCCACAGTGTCTGCGGTGGGTTGCTGTGGCAACTCAGTTTCTCCCTGCAGTGCTAGAGGTTCATCAGCCGAAAGGGAGACTGAGAGGGATTCTGCAGTGGTGCATTGAGAAAGCTGAGCTTTAAGTTTGACATCTGCAGGACCATCTGCAGGACCCTCTGCAGGTCGTTCTGTAAGGCCATAAGGTGGAGGCAGTATTGAAGTGCTACTGGAAATTGGGTCAGGGCAAACTAAAAGTTCTTCTGGGCATGAGAGGATCTTTTCCGAACAAGGAGGGTGTTAGCAAGTGTCTGTAGACTCCAATGTAAGGCTGTTGTTGGCTTCTTCAAGCATAGGCTCCACAGAGAAAACATCTGATTTCTCTAAAGTACTGTTTTTGCTCAACTCCCCAACAGCACTACTTCTATCAACCACATCACCTTTCAGGGTTTCGTCACATGTTTGTTCTGATTGTGCCTCATAGGATAGAGGTTTTGAAGGCAACTCAGCTGTAGACAAGTCAGAAGGCATTGATATTTCAAAGTCTGCTTCCTGGGGTCCAGGTACTTCAATTTTGCGTAATGCTCCCCGCAAAGCTGAGCTAAAATCAAGTACAGCTCGGCCTATGCGCTTGACATTGAAACCACCAGCTTGGACATCTGCACTGACAGAGCGAGGGAGTCTGTTTTCTAAGCTTTGGTTGGTGGCTTCAGTCTGTTGGATGTACAGCCTGTCCACATCATCTACAGTTGTACATAAGGAAGCCTCAGTCCATGTCACTGCTGAAGACTCTTCATAGGCTAAAAAATTTTCCTGATAACTATCGACATGACACTCTGTGGTGTAGCTCAGGTCATTTGATTGCCCATAGTCAAATTCCTCTGCTTCTCCATCATGCCCATCAACTGAATGGTAACCAGAGCTTTGAGGGTATGAAAAATCAGCAGCATACTCGTATCCTGCAGCGGGCTTCTCAAGGTCAGTATCTGTTGGAACATTAATGCCAGACTGAGTTTGAGGCCTTCTCCTCCGTGACTGCCACTCCTCCCTGCTAGAAGTGCTGGCAGGTGAGTTGTAATGTTTCCCAGAACGAATAGAGAGATGTTCAGAACTTCCCGTGGAGCACTGCCCTGATGTACCATATCCCCCTGCCCCTCTGTAGTGATCCCAGCTACCAGCTCCTTCACAGCAAAGAGGGGTCTCACTTTCATGCTCTTCCGGACTCCTGTCCCTGTGGTAAGCAGTTTCCTGATGCCACGCAGATTCTGCAGAGGCACTGTGTGGTGGTCCCGTGTTTGTCCAATGTTCCTCCCCATCAACAGTTCTTTGCTGCTTCCTTCCATGACTAGATGATGGTCTCTCTAGATCTGACTCACTATGACCAGAAGACAAGGAGCTGGTGCTTGGACAGTCTTGGCCATCCTGCCTTTCAAAGTAGCCAAAGCTGAGCTTTCTTGCTATCGCACCTACTGGGATATCCGAGCTATGGTCAGAGTTATCCTCTCCTTCCTCTAGTTCCTGATTATCCACTGATTCAGCAATTGGGGAGACAGTAGACTCCTCTGCCCTTGCTAGCAGTAATTCTCCATGGATGCTATGGCGCTCATTGCAGACTTGGGGGAAAAGATTTGATTCAGACTTTGGTATTGCGCTCCCTAAACTGCCATAAGCACTAGCAGGTCTTCTGCGAGAGGATGGTCCATCTTTGGACCCTGCCCCCGACCAGGTACCGGCGTGTTCCCCTGAACCAGCTTTGTTGCTAGAACGAATGCCCTCAATCTCCAACAATACGGCATCGACACAGGATGATACTTCCTCAACTGACCCTCGAACGGAGGTCAGGTAATCCCTGAGGTCGGAGATTTCCTCCTGGATCTTGTTGATCCCCCTCAGCTCTTTAAGAATGTGCTCAATTATGGCACTCGACTCCTCCTCTTTATCCTCATCCTCTTCCAACAGCGTACCTGGCAGAGCTCTGTTAAAGTTGTAGTCCACACAGTCACCAGCAGAAAAGGGTCTCTTTGGCCGAATACGGGGTGAAGGAAATTCCCTTCCGGTTGCTCCTGCAAATTTGGTACCATTCATGTCTGGGCCTATTGGAGTATAGTGTGGGGGCGGTTGCATCTGCTCAGGTGTTGGCCGAATATCACCCACAAAGGAGATTCGTTTCATATTTGCTGGGGATCTGCAGCTTTTATGCTGCAAAGTGCAGGGTATTCTTATACATCCCTCTCTGTTCAACTCTACCTCTCCTACACATGGCGGCGCTGGTGCTACTCCATGACCTTTACCGTTTGACACTTTTGGAGGGTAAGTCTCAGGCCTGGGGCCGACCTTTGAATATCTGCTTCTGTGCTCCTTTCTGCCCTCCTGTGTTTCCCCCTCCTCCTCCTCCTCAATGCCTGTATAATAGAGGTGGGAATCTGGGACATGGTGGTCTGCAGAGCCTTGCAAGAGACGATGTATTTTGCCCCGAATGACCAGTGCTACCCTGGGGTTTGGAGCCCTCTTTTTGGGTGAGTGGACTTTTGCCTTTGTGCCTCCTTTAGGGGCAACACCTGCTCCGTGTTGTCCATTGAAGCGATTCCTGGAGAACATATTCTCAAGAGAGCAGCCTGTCCTCATCTAGTTTCCCACATTGTCAGTGGGAGTTACAATCAAAGTGCTCACGGTATCATAGTTCATTAAATTAGCCTGTTGGAAGCTTTTTCAGCCTGACCACTCAGTGTCAGTGGTCCATGACTAAAATGGGAAGACAAAGATAAAAGACTTGTAAACACAAAAAACACCACAACATCCTTGTCAATTCAGTACTTTGGAAGAGAAGACATTTGAGGAATTATATTCCCTAACTAATGAAGATAAATTTCTCCACCATCATTGAAGAAACAGTATCTTGCTCAGTCAACTTCAAAAGGATAAAATTAGATAAAATACTGTGTAAGTTTGAGAACACTGGGATAAAGAATGCAAAAGTAAGTAAGTTAGTGCTGTTCCCGAACACATTTCCTCTCCATGCCCAGAGAGCGGAAGTGACATTATTTATGTATAATATGATCATATGAACATATGATGACAGATGATGTTATCCATACTAATCTGGCGAGCTTGCAGTTTGTGTTAGTCAATATAAAATCAACATTTTGAATGCCACTACTCTGGTGGCTGCATTCATCATCATGTCCTCACAATAAAGTGAACATATAATATTCAGGTTAAATCAGCCTTTCAGAACACACCGCCCGTGTCAGAACTAGCCCCTCTGCTGAGCAAAAAAATTGCTATGCTATTGCTATGTAAGATCTATTTCCTGAATGTATATAACTTCAATTTATACACTGAACTCTAGATGGTTCTATTATCTGTTATATCAATGCTGAATGAAAGAAATATCCGCATAGTGAGCACGGCAAGCATCTTGAGGTTAAACAGGAAATGGAGAGTGTGTCACAGTGACGCATGGTTCAGTTCATCGGAAGGCAATTTAGCTATCAGGACTTTCGTCATATGTAAGAATGAAATTATTCTTTTGCCATTCATCTAAAATTTGTAAAGATTGTTGGACACAGATGGCCCATGTTGTTACAGCAAAAGATGAGGTAAGTGCCCTTTCCTAATCTCTTTCAATCACTACAACCGGACATCATCCAATTTTTAAAGATTACAATAGATTGTCAACACACAGAGTCTCAAATATTACCTCTGAATTTTCTATCTTTTATCACACACACACACACACACACACACACACACACACACACTCACACACACAAGATGCAGATGGACCAAATCCATCAACATTTGGTCAGGTCAGAATTCACAGAGGAAGCATTCGACACCAAAATGCTTAATTGCAATCTGTGATGGACTTATTGATCAGTCTGACACTCTCTTAAACCAGGTGTTTTTCACTTTCATTAATTTTCTTTATCCACTTATAATGTTAGGGTTCACAGAGTAGCTTGAGTCTATCCCAGCTGACGTGGGCAAGAGGCAGGGTACACCCTGGACAGGGTGCCAGACTATCCCAGGGCTGACATGTAGAGACAGACAAACAATCATGCTCACATTCACATGTACTGCCAATTTGGAGTCACATGACTTGAAGTGCATGTCTTTGGACTGTGGGAGGAAGCTCAAGTACCTGCAGAAAACCCACGCTGACACGCGGAGAACATGCAAACCACACAGAAGGAGTTTAAAACCATTTAATGTGACTGGGGCAAAAGCAAATGTCAAATCACGCTGGATCAACATTTCTGTAAACGTGCCAGTGTTATCCAGCCGGCTAATTTTCAACTGCAGTCCTTTGGCAAGATGTTATGAAACCAATAAAATTTTCAATCTTACTTGACTCATTTTTATGGGAGTAAATATACTCTAACTTGAGTAGATTTTCAGTACTTTACACACTGCTGATTCTTGATTAATCAAATAACCATTTCTATCAGATAATAGAGTTATATGCCCATCACAGTTTATAACAGCCCAAGGTAACGTGTCTTCTGTCAGACCAACAGTCTGAAACCTAAAGATATTCAAACAACTATCGTATGAGATAAAGTCAAGAAGGAAATCCTTTCAAATGAGAAGCTGGAACGAGAAAATGTTTGTCATTTTTAGATGAATTGAAACACTTACTCAATCATAAAAGTAGCTGGCAATTATTTTTCTGTTGATTTACTAATCAAGTAATCATTCAAGAGGAGTAATGAGAGGAATACAGTTCACTGCAAAACCCCAAAGTTAGCTACACTTACAAACAGATTTTAGACACCTGGGAATTTGGTAAAATAAGGTAAGTCCAGGGTGAGACATGCCTCACATCACCCTCTCCACTCCAAATTAAATTTCATGTCCTTCCTTGTAAAAATGTTATCTTCTTCTTTTCTCAGCTCATACTGTGTTTGAATTCATTTTCGAGGATCTTCTGTTTTATGTGATCTTTCTATGGTCACAGAGGAGCTGTAACTCTGAACCCTGTGGTTTTTAGTATTGACTGCTTGTAAAGTTGATAACCAAGACACTGACACCTACTTTTATACATATCTTGGATTCTTGGGTCTAAACTACATGCCATAAATTTACATGTGATTTTTATTATCAGATGCATGTGTTCTGGTGTGTTATAAGACAAGGCTGTTAATACCTATTTTACCAACCCAATCACCAGAATAAATGTTGGCATTGTTCGTGTCTAAAAAAACATGGATATATTACAGTTCTACATTATTGTGTAGCGGATACGATTCAACAACACTGTGGTTAACATGTGGATAGGTTAAGGCACAAAAACTACTTGGTTATGGTTTTGAAAAGATTGTGTTTTGGCTTAAAATACCCACTCTTGGTGACATTATCACATTTGGAAAAACAAACTGCTTTTCATGGCACTATCATAGCAGGAAACGCCAAACTGTCTCGGTACAAAACAACCACTTTTCAGGACACTATCTCGAGTGTAAACACAGCAACTGGTTGCTAAAAAACACCCACATTTGGTGGCTATAAAGCCACTGAAAAACAAACAAGACTCACTAAACAACTGATCTCAAACAGTGGTCTGCAGCTTGGCAAGTGTTTCGTCTAGGTATCATATCCACCATCCTCTTCTCCTCCCGATAACAAAGTCAGCCGATACATTACATCACCTTAGAGACATTGATATGAAACATATACCAGCTCTTGTTAACACTATCACATCTGGAAATGCAGCATTTTAGTGGCACTTTCCTTGCTGAAAATGCAGCAACATCTCGGTAAAAACCTATCCCTTTTTGTGACACTATCATGGCAGGAAATGCAGCAATGTCTCAATGAAAATCTACCCCTTTTTGTGACACTATTCCAGGTTGAAACACCTATGTTTGGTGTCTACAAAGCTGCTGAAAATTCAATGATGATTCACTAAGCAACTGGTCTCAAACAGTGGTCTGCAGCTTGGCAAGTTCTTTGGACTAAGTGGATATATGTTTGACCACAGCCAACATTTTGGAAGGACTTCCTGACTTATTATCTAATATTTAAAGCTAGATCGTTTGGACTAGACCTCTAAAATTATATATTATTGGCTGTAAAAGATTTACTGGAGCCAAGCTTGGATAAACCCAAAAGAAAGTAAAGTCTCTCAGACCAGAGCAGGAATTCTTAGTCATTCTTTATCCCCTTCTGCCAACGTACATTTATTAAAGGAAATAATGAAAAAGATAATTCTCAATTTTATTTAAGGATATTTAAGGATACTTTGGAAGCTGTACTTCAGATACTAAGTGTTAGAAAAGCTGGTGAAGGAGGGATGGTGAATTGTGAAGTAGGATAAAATATGTAATGCAGTCAAACTTAAATCAATCCCACCCTGAGGGTAGACCAGCCACCACATTAAGGCAGATATGCTCCAACTCCGCTTACATAAGTTACTGCACTGTAGAAACTTTTACACTAAAGCACTGGAGCTGCAGACAAGCACACACAAGGTTGTCACTTATGATTCTGAATGTATGAATAAATTAAAGGCCCTGAAAACTTGTTTTCCTAATCTGCTTACAAAGCTGCATGAGCACACTATATATGCAGGATAGAAGTAACTAGTTTTTTCTGTCACTTGATGCCTCCACACTGTTCTGATGTGAGTGGGGTTGGTTGGAAAAAGATGATGTCAGATATTTTACTGCACCAAACAGATAAGATTGAGTAGCTGACAACTGAGTTGAGAAGTTGGAGGAGTTCTCTTGGGTGCTTTTGGTTCAGGGTGTATAAGTCTAGCTAATTTACAACATAGAAAGTTTCAGGCGACAGAAAGTTGGCACACTTTCAAGACTTGGATTGACATGAAACTGTCTTGGTTGAAACATCAGTACAAACAACCCAGTCTCCAAAATAAAATGTTGGCATTGTACATTTCTGCAAACCCTGAATATGTTACATGTGCATGTTTGTTTCATACTCATCATATCAATGTTTTTAAAAAGACATTCCTTAGTATCCGAGCTGACGTTATCATCTGGAGGTGAAGATAACGATAGATGGCAAGTAAACTAGGCGAGTGCCTGCTAATTTGCAGATCACTGTTCGAAACCAACAAGCAACCAACTGGTTGTTGTTTAGTGAGTCATTGGTATGTTTCCAGAGCTTTTTAGGCACCAAATGTGGGTGTTTTGTAGCGACTGGTTACAGTTTTTCCAGCAGTAATAGTGCCACAAAAAGCTCTTGTTTTTACCGAAACAATGCTGCCTTTCAAGCGGGAACTGTGCCCCCAAACCCAAGTATTTTAAGCGTCTTTTCCTAATCATAACCAACTAGTTTTTGTGCCTAAATCTATCCACATCAAAGGTTAAAAGTCCAGTGTGTGGGATTTTGAGGGATACATGGCAAAAATGTAATATCATGTGATAAATATGTCTTCTTGAGTGTATAGACATCTAAAAATGGACCGCATCGACAGAGATCACTATGTTGCACCTCCATGTTCCTACAGTGGCCCAGAATAGACAATCCAAGAACTGGATCTAGAAGGGGCCATACCCGTTTCTGCGTCAGTTATTGTGGTTAGCAACCCCTTCACAGAGACCAGTGTTGGAAAAACACTGATGTTTTAAACCTGAACCTGCTTTATTGAGTGTTTGACTGGTTTAAATCAACAGGTCAGTTTGCCTTTGAGAGGAAAGAGACCTCCTCAGATAATTCTGCTCCCTGAAAAAAACCTACTTAACGTCTGGATCTTAAGATCAGAGAAAAAGGGTGAG